CTGCATGCCCTTTCTGGTCGAAGATCCTTGCTTCACAGGTAAGCACTATCACAGATCCTTTTTAACTCCAGCTGGCTGAACTATATCTTTCCTGCTGCTGCCAGTCTCTTGCAGTCGCTTCAGGCTTCAAGGTCTCTCTGGGTCCTAAGGAAAGAGCCCTAAGATCTGGACTCTAATCCTGGCCCCATCACTTCACCTCTCTGGGCCTATTTTTTGGTGCCGGTCAACTGCTGGTGTGCTTTCAGATCCGTTCTCCACCCTTTCCGGGCTCTGCTTTGTATCACTACTGGGAACTACATTTCCCAGACTCCTTTTCCCCCGGCTTCTGGGTTGGTTCATACACTAGGATGACAGGTGGGTGGAGGACAGGTGGGTGGGAGGAGGGAAGAAACCAGGCTATTTCTCCCCCTCTCTCTTTGTTCTCTGCCATCTCCCACAGTTGGTTGTGTGTCTTCCTTCCCTCCTTCCATAATCCTGTCTCCTACCAGGCACCCCCACTATTTAGCTCCTGCCAAATAGCTCTGGGGACTTCTGGGTCTATAATGCTATCTCACCCTGCTGTTTTCCCTGCCCTGGAGATGGTAGCTGCTTCCTGCTCTGCTATTTTCGGGGTTGCCTCACTGTCTCCTGTTGGCTTCTCAGCTCTCCCATCACCCATGTACAAAGTCTCTGTGTTAAATTTCTTTCGTTTGAAAGACTTAGAGTGTTTCCTGTTTCCCAGCTGGACCATGACTGGCAAATCTTTTCCATAAGTGGTTATTATAATGCCTGCTCAACCTTCTCCAGGAGGATGAAGGGAGAGTCAAAGGGGGGAGCAATCCACAAATTCTTTGTGGGCAGGCCATTATCTCTGCTTCTTTCCTTTTGTGTTCTTCACCAGCTTCCTTGAAATCTCACTGATTTCCACTGGGCAACACCAGACCCGGCTGAGCGCCTCGTAGACTCGCAGAATGTGTGGGAGCTGGCTCTTCTCCAGGCCTTCTTCAGAGGGGATTGCTGAGACATCCTTCTTCCCAGAGGCCCAGGAAGAATCCAAAAAGGGGGTTGCTGGGAATGGATTCTTCTAAATATTCTTTTTGTCTCTCCTCTTCCCCACACTGCTCTTAGCCAACCGGTGCCCTGGGAAAGGGTCTGGTGAACACTGACAAATGTGGACCTGATGAGGGTCGACTTTCTCCAGAGTGTTTGCACTTTCACTGGGGACAACCTCTTAGTCCAGCTGTCTCAGCTGGCGTGATTTTACTCCCCGGAGACATTTGGCAATATCTGGAGGAGTTTCTGATTGTCACAATTCAGGGGGTACTATTGGCATCTAGTCAGTGGGGGCCAGGGATGGGCACAGGAATCCTGCCTTAGCCTGAAGGAGTAGACTGCCAGTGGTGAGCTTCTAAGCATCCTGCAGTGACCGCCTGGAGCGGCCGGGAGGGGTTTTCTGGTACATGGTTTTAGGTTAAGGAGAAATTCATACGATATAAGTGCAGAGAAAAAAATCACGGTTTTCCACAGTGGGCAGCCCAGTGTGGAGAGGCTAATTAGTTCTAAGTGGTAAGAATAAACTGACTGACTTTGAGTGACTCATTTTTACCCTAGAAAGGATAGAGACTGAAATGGGAAAAGTGAAGGAAATTTAGATAAATCAATAGACCACAAATTAATGGGTTATTAGAGGAAATTAGGATGCTTGATGCTTTGGGGATATTTTCTCATAGCACATCACTCTCTGTCAAAGATTAACCTTGGGTCTTACCCAAGATGCCAGTTCTGCTGTCTTCTGCAGCGTGGGTCAACATATGGAGACCACTAGACAGTGGGGCCACCAAGACGAATAAGCCTAGTGCCGGTCCTCAGAGAACTTGTGTTACGATCTGCGCATATGTAAACACGCACAGATGCACAGACACACCCCCCAGGATAATAACAGTACACAGCTGTAAGTGCTGCTGTCAAGTACATAAGGCTCTCGCCGGGAGCGTGGAGGAGAAAGTGAATCCTTCCATGGTCCCCTGTTCCCCAGAGAGCAAAAGGCAGGAAGACCCTTTGAACCCATAACCCTCATCCCTCTGGCTTCCCTTCTCTCCCTGGAGCCTCTGCACAGTTTATGGCCACACCACAGGGTTAGAGGCTGGCTGGTGTTGGGTGGGGGGAGGCAGCCCAGGTAGGAAAGAAGGGCTAGGGCTCTGGGAGATGTGAGGGGTGAGAGGGGTTCCAAGACAAGCTTTCAAGGCCCTGGATCCCCCACAGAACCGGACTCCACTTCTCTGGACCTCAGGGGAGCAGCACTGAGCTTGGAAAGGGGAGCCTCAGCTCTCAGTCTGGCCCCACCCCGAACCCCTGGGTGACTGTGGGCAAGTCACTGCCTCTCCGGTGGCCTCAGTTCCCTCATGCGTTAAACATGGGGCGAGATGCAGAGTCAGATGGAAAGGGCCTTTGCAACCTTCTGGGCTGCCTTACCCACCCCTCCTGCCCTTTCATTTTTCAGATGAGAGCACTGGGCCCAGAGAGGTAAAATGCCTTTTTCAAAGTCACATCGATTAAAAGCAAAAATGAAAGTCATAGAAGAATATCTATTACATGGACCATTTGTGAAAAAAGCAATAAATTTTGTTTTTTAAAAAATACATGTAAGTCTATAAAAACACACAAAAAGATACAGATGGATACAAGGATTACAGTGGCTCCCCTGGGCCGAGGGGTGGGAGAGGAATGGGACAAAGCGAGGCTTTTATTGTGCTGTACACTTCTGTAGTGTTGGAAAATTGTATCGTGACAAACAGGTATTTGGGTATTATTTCTGCACCTTAAAACATAATCTTTAAAATGGAGCTCTGACAAAAGTGCAGTTCTTTGGGGGCCGGCCAGGTGGCATAGTGGTTAAGTTCCCGCTCTCCACTTCAGAGGCTCAGGGTTTGCCGGTTCAGATCCTGGGCGCGGACGTACACACCGCTCATCAGGCCATGCTGTGGTGGCGTCCCACGTAAAAGAACTAGAAGGACTTACAGTAGGATATACACCTATGTGCTGGGGCTTTGGGGAGAAAAAAAAAAAGAGAAAGATTGGCAACAGATGTTAGCTCAGGGCCAATCTTCCTCACCAAAGCATAAAAAAAAACCCAAGAGAGAACAACAAAATAAATGCTATTTGAAAAAAAAGTGCAGGTCTCAGATTCCTGTTTTTCTTGCAACAACAAGCTTGGTCAGGCCTCTTCTGGGTCTGGAATGCTGCTGTCTCAGGCACGGGCTGCCACCCTGGCAGGTGGTTACAGGGACACCACACTCTGCGGCTGAGCCCAGACCAGGCCTGGCAATTCTTCTCACAGAGCCCTTGAGACAAAAGCTGTCTGCCTGCTGCCTTAAGCCAGCGGCCAGATTTCAGGCCCCAGCTAGCAAATAGAAAAGGCAGAGGGGAGCCTCTGGGAACCTTTGAGATCCTAGGGGCGGGTGCCGTGTGCCCCATGTGTAGGTGGGGTCATCCCTGCTTTAAGGACCTGGCTCGGGGAGAGGGAGCTTCAAGGGGAATCTGGATCCTGTGGGAAGGTGGGGACAGCGTAGAGGGCTTTTCACAGAGCCAGGGAGAGAACCCAGGCCCCGGACTGCTGACGAGTCCACGGACTCTGCTTGTGAGCGCGTGAAGCTTCCCGGCTTTCACACCCAGGTGCAGGGGGCCCAGTCCTCATGCATCTGCTCTTGGAAACAAACCGCAAAAGCCCTAAGTAGACAACCCTCGAGGAGAATTCTGATTCTGTTTTTCGCTCTGCGGCTATTGTGTTTTCACAATGTGTCCTCAGAAAACTGGCTTCTCTTGTGGAGGGTGCATTTCTTCTTCTGGAAAATGAAGAAAAAGCCAGCCTTTCCCCTCCCAGGGGAAGGGTCTCAGCAGGCGTCAAGGGAAGCAATGGGACTGGGTTTGGAATCCTGGCTGACGCCAGCTCTCACTTGAAGAGGCCACGAGAGACAGTCTGGAGAGGAAGCCACGAGACGGGTTTGTACCCTGCTGCCCTCTTTGCCTGGTAAACACTTTGTTGTTCCTCAAGACTCAGCTGAGATGCCACCTTCTCCAGGAAGTCTTCCTGGGTCTCCTTGGGGTGAGTGCCTCTCCCTCCCTCCCCAGCCAGGCTCCCTCAGCACTTGGTTCTTATTTCTGCCGCTAGAGTCCTTTTCTTATGATATTGCAGGCCTGTCTCCTGCCTCGTCTAAGTCAGTGCCCAGGCTGGGCCTGTGTCTGCACATGGCAGGGAAGCCTGTGCCTGCCCCTCTGAGGAGGCAGGAAAAGCCGGGGCGCACACCAGGGCTGCCTCCTGCGGGGCCACAGGTGGCAGACCTCCTGCCACACATGCAGGGCTGGGCTGTGCGGATGGGTCTCCTGTCTGGTGCCTCATCGGCCCTCTTTTTGGGCCTGGTTCTCGGACCCTTCCCTCTGCTTGCTCACCAATTGGCGCTTCTCTCTTTCTCCTCTTGCTGGATTATGTTTGGGTCAGAAATTTTGGAGGAAAAACACAGCCCCTACCATGAGCTTTTCCTTCCTCCGCGGGTGGTGTTGACCGGGGCCACGCCCACCCTCTTCCTCTCTCGTCTAGCACTGCCCATGCCCCTCCCTGCCCCTCAGTGCCGCTGTCCCTGGCGCTCTGGGGGCTCCGGGTCTGTGCCCAAGTGCCCTGCCTAGCCCCTGTGCTGCCTGTCCGGTGCCCACATTCCTGCAACCCCGTGACCACAACAGGGGCCATGACACATTCCTGGCCTGGCAGCCAATGGTGTAAAAAAGAACAGAATGTCCCAAGGCCCCGCCCTGTCCCTTGCTTCCCTGGGCCCCTCCCTGCCCTGGGCAAGGTGAGGGGTGGTGGTGAGGAGTCAGGTGAGAAGAGGACAGACTGAGAGGGGAGGCAGAGGGATGCTTCACACTCAGGGCCCAGGGCCAGGGGGGCCAGGAGGTGTTCCCACTTTGGTGAGCAGGAAGGAAGCTTGCAGATACCCCTTCTCCTGCCTCTCCAAGATCTGGGGGTGAGGCTGACCCAGGGGTGCCCTTGGAGGGATTCCCCAGGGAGGGGACCCAGCTCCCGGAAGCCCACGTGGGGCTCCCTCCCCTGCTCTGCTGCCTGGGAGTAGAGAGGCCCTTTGGGGCTGGCTCCCTCTCTTCACCCTCCTCTCTCTGCCTCTCCTCCCCATGTGCCCTCCTGCATCCCTCCGTCCCGGTCCCGGTGGCTCACCTGCCCTCCTCCATCCATCTCCCTTTTTCTGCCTTCCCTGTCCTCCTGGTCTCCCCCCTTGGCCTCACTCCCCCTGGCTTGTTCTTTTTCCTTGCTTTGCCCTCTTGGCTTTGTGTTCAGGATCCTTCTCCTTGTTCAGGCTCTCCGGCCCCACCTGTCATTCTGTCTCCCACTCTCCTTGCCTGTCAGCTCTGCTTCACTCCCTAAGCCCCTTCTCCAGTCTCCCTTCAGACCCCCTCTCACCTTCTGCAGTGCCAGCACTCCCTGGTCACCTGCCCTCGGGGGGCCCCCCTCCCTTGGGAGAACTCTCAGCTCTGACTCCTCCTCTGCCCCTCCCCCTGCCCTGCTCACCTTTAATTGAGATGCTAATGAGGCTTCAGTCGCTTCCATCCCCAGCAGGCGGGCAGGCTCCCTGGCCCGGCTGCTGCACCTGTCAGGTGAGGGGGAGGAGAGGACTGGCTGCCAGATTCAACTGGAAAGGAACCAGTCCCAGTCCAGCCACACCTGGGAGTGGGGAGCAGGAGGCAGCCCAGACCTCCTGGAGCCCTGCAGTCCCTGGGACGGAGAGGGAGTCAGGACACAGCCCGAGGCCAGGGCCAGAGACAGGAGGAGAGAGCCCAGACTGAGAGGGGGAAAGGCAGGGAGGAAGAGGAAGAGAGGCAGGATCAGAGAGCCTGGTACAGAGAGAGGAGGCACGAAAGGAAGAAGAGAGCCGAGAAAGAGACCCAAAGAGAAGCAGAAGGGAGAGAGAGAGAGAGAGAGAGAAAGAGAGACTAAGACACGGAGATCCTGGAGGAAGAAGACCCAAAGAAAGAGACTGACTACTGTGGCAACAGAGAGGGAGGTGCTAGGAGGGAGCCCAAAAGGTGGCCTTATCAGGGAAGCAGAGGAGAGACCACGGCAGGGAAGCCCAGCTCCAGCTCTTCTGGCCCAACTCCGGCAGGTCAGCTGGCTCCTGGGACGGTCGGTAGAGGGAGGGAGGAGTGGGAGAAAGTGGGCTCAGGGTGGGATTCCGGCATGGCCAGGACCAGCCTCCCTCTGGGTTCAAGATGATGGGTGAGGGCAACCCGGAGCCCAGAACTCAGCCCTGACCCTCAACCTCTACAGCCTACCCAGGGGCTCATGAAGGGAGACAAGCATGAGGAGCAGGAGCTGGGCTCTGAACCCACGGCCCCCCAGCAGCCCACGGAGGAGGAGGAGGCCCTTATCGAGTTCCACCGCTCCTACCGAGAGCTCTTCGAGTTCTTCTGCAACCACACCACCATCCATGGCGCCATCCGCCTGGTGTGCTCCCAGCACAACCGCATGAAGACGGCCTTCTGGGCTGTGCTCTGGCTCTGCACCTTCGGCATGATGTACTGGCAGTTCGGCCTGCTGTTCGGAGAGTACTTCAGCTACCCCGTCAGCCTCAACATCAACCTCAACTCCGACAAGCTCGTCTTTCCCGCCGTTACCATCTGCACCCTCAACCCCTACAGGTCAGTTGGTCCCTCTGCCACATCCTGGCAGTGGTGCCTGCAAGGGAAGTATGGAGGGTACAGAGGTGCCCACTGGGCAGGCAGACCTCAGCCCCAGGGGTAGGAGGCGAAACTCCTGTCCCCAGGCAGACCTCCCTTCGGGCAAGATAGGGAGCCCCACTGGATGGACTGGTAGCGCTGCCCAGTGGAGCCTTCCCAGGGCTGTGGTTGTTGAACCAGGAGGCCCCTCCGCCTCCCTCCCCGCCTTCCCCCCACAGCTGGGAGGGAGTGCTGAGGAGGTCAAGATGCTGATAACTCCAAAAGGGCAGGGTAGAGATCTTCCCCATCCCTTCCCTGGAGCAAGAGGAGAGCAAAGAACTGGCCTCCTCCACCTCAAGAGAAGAGCCTGCTGGAGAGTTGAGGCCACCGCAGGGGCTGTGGCCCTGGGTGGTGGCAGCTGACAGGAGCTGGGCCCTGGCAGGGGAGTTTGTTTTGGAGAAAGCAAAGTAGGGGGTGGTGGCAAAGCAATCCATGAGCCTTGAGGCTGAGGCTGGAGAGTTACAGAGCCAGAGGAGACAGGACAGAATAGAAAGCAGCCCTTGTCAAGCTGTTTCCCCAAAGACCCAGGTGACCCCTGCTGGGCTGCACAGCTCACCTGCCCAGGTGCCTGACTTTTAAGTGCTGGGTGTTTCTTGAAGTTTTGGGTTTCATCACTGCTCTTTGCCAATCTTTGGTCCGGAAGCCAGGGGGAGTGGTAACCACGGAGAAGAAAGGAGGTCAGGGCTGGTTGGGTGTTTATATATACCTTTTATGTGTGTTCACTCAGTCAGGCAACACCGTGGGAACACCTGCGGCCCGCCAGCCACTGTGCTAGGCACCTGGCAAATGGGCTCATTAATAATTCATCCAGTCTCTGTCGAAGCCCAGGTACTTGGCTGGGTATTGAAAGATAAAGTGAGATGGAAGAGATAGGCAAGTAAACAAGTAACTGCAGCACTGTGCTAAGTATCACGAAAATCGTGTGAGTTATTGTCTCTGCCTTCAAGGAGTGTGAGATTTATGAGTGCATGTGTGTGATTGCATGAGTGTGTATGAGCAAACACAGGGTATGTGTGCGAGTATGGATGACTGGGTTGGTCACATATTGGGGGTGGAGGCCCCCAGTCTGTCTGTTGTGTCCAGAGGTGTGTCATGGACTAATAAGGGTTGGGACGTCCTGTCCTTCAGAGAGAAAACTGCCAGGCCATCTCGATTAGCCTCCATATGATGCCCAGAGTAAGGGGCCCTTTAGTCAGAAGCTGCTTCATGCACCAGATGCTGCTAAGTACCCTGCAGCATCTCCATTCATTCTCCCATGTGTCCTCCGAGGCAGCTACTATTATTATCCCTATTTGGCACTTGAGGAAACTGAGGCAGAGAAAGACAGGTCACAAGGTCACAGAGATAGAGACTGAGCTGTGACTCATCCTGTTTTCCTGATCCCAAACTCCTGCCTTTTAACACCCGAGACGTGCAGCTCGGAATCAATGGAGTTTCCAATCTGATGTTCACTTCTCTTTTCCGAGTCCTTGTTCCCCTGGTGCCCTTGGGCTTTGCTCCTCTCCTTCCAGACTTCCCACCCCTGTAGCTCCTCTGACCTAGTCTTTCCCCTCCCTCCCCATCCCTCACCCCCTTGGGCCATGGTGGAGGGAAGGGACACTGGGCACCCCAGCCAGCAGGGAGGAAGGGACAACAGGCAGGGTAGTAGGCTCTCAATAAATATTTGTGGTTGAAACACGTGAGTGGGAGGTGTGAGGGCAGGGGTGAACCTGTTGGGGCCTGCATGTTTTCTAAGGTTCTGCTGGGTGCAGGGCCCTGGACAGTCTAGGAAAAAGCCCCAGGGAATGAAAACCACGGCCCCTGCCTCCAGGGGCCTGCTGGTGGGGAGTCAGGTATCCCCACGGCACAAATCCCTCCTGTGTGGATGGCTGTGCGGGACTCAGCGAGGGGAGCACCCTGGAAGGCAGCGGGGTCAGGGGAGCCTCCCCACGCAGGGGAAGGAGACTGAGCACCTGCTGTGTGTTAAGGCCTGCGCTGGGTCTTTATGCACACGGTCTCCCTGAATCCCGGCAAGTCCAGGAGGGGTGCATTGTTATTATTTCTGTTTTGCAGATGAGGACATGGAGGTGAAATAATTTGAGTAAGGTCACACAGCAAATAATAAAGAAGTAATAACAACAATAATAGCTAACAGTTACGCAGTACTTGATATGTGCCAAACCTAAATTAGATTTTTATGTTAAATTATTTAATCCTCACAACAGACCTCTGAAGTAGATATCAGTGTTACTCCCATTTTATGGATGAGGAAAGTGAGGTCCAGAGAGGTTAAGAAACTTGCCCAAGTTCACACAGGTAGCAGGTGGTGAATCTGGGATTCAAAAATCACCCCTGGGGCCCCCTACCTCGGAGCCAGTGTATCCCAGGTTAGCAGCTGAGTCGCAAACCAAGCGTGTTTGATGTCAAGGTGTGTTCTCCCATTGCACTTTAAAGGAGGGGCCAGGCCCAGGTGTCTAGGGGTGGGGGTGCTGGTTGGAGGCCATGGGAAGAGCAGCAGTAAGAGGAGGGGTACTTGTCAGGGTGCGGGAGGGAGGGATCCAGGGTTGTTTGCCCCTGTTCCAGGAGAGGGGCAGGGTGGGTGGACAGGTTCGTGCAGCCTTGCGGGTGGTGACCTGAGTGTGAATCACTGGCCACCAGCTGGCAGCAGGTGCAGGAGGCGGAGGGAGGTGAGTGACTCCTGTGGGGAGCTGGGGGGAGGGAAATCAGGAGACAGATAGATAGAGGAGCTGGCCAGATAACTGGGCTGACGCCCGCCTGCTGGCAGCTGGGCACGGCCAGCAGAGGGAGGGGAAGAAAAAGGGGGTGCAGGGTTCTGGGCTGCTTTGTAACTTCCAGGAGAGGGGACAAGGGCCGAAGACCTTCCACACTAAGCAAGGGAGTGCTACAAATCCAGTGGGGAGGGTCAGCCACAGCAGTCCCTTTCTTTCGGGTCAACAAAGGGCTTTTTCACCCAAGGGAGAGGGCCAGTCACATCCACATCCACGGAAAACAGACCCAAGAGCATATTTTTCATCCAGTCCCAGGAGGGATTTAGGCTGGACCTGAGGAACAACTTGGGGTTCTTAAACAACAAAGGAGGTCATAGAATCTTCCTTCCCGGAGCTGGCAGAGCAGGGGACACACGGCAACAGCAGGGGGTGAGGAGAGGGGCAATTCCCGGGAGAGAGAAGCCACAGGAAGGGAGGGGGGTTCTGAGCCAGGCCGGAGTCCCTAAGCCCGGTGGGGAGCCCCTGTGCTCCCTGCAGGATCTGGAAGCCAGGCCTGGCCGGGACAGAAAGCTCAGACTCTTCAAGCTGACCCTTACCCCTACCCAGTGATGGACTCTTTCTCGGGGCAGGAACCTCACCACCTCTGCACAGCTGTTGTTAGAAAGGTCTTCCTTAGGGAAAGCTGCTGTTTACCGCATCATAATCTCTGCCCTCTGGTTCCGGTCTGTCTCTTTGAAACAGCCCTAAAGACCTCTCTTTTCCCCACAGCCCTCAGTCCAGGCGCGCCTAGGAGAGCACTAACTACACGGCAACCTGCAAAGTCCGCTTTCGCATTCTGATCCTCCTAACCTAAGGAGCTTGTCACCTAAAGAGTCAGATGAGAAAATGGAGGCTCCAGGAAACTAAGGGCTTTGCAGAGGTCACCCAGCTGTTACGTGGAGGAGTCAGAATTGGAATCTGGTCTTAGGCTCCACTTTTATTAAGACCACAAAGTCACACGGTGGATAAGCGGCAGGCAGTGCTCCTGTGCCTGCTTAACTTTTTCTTCTCCGAAAACAGTCAGAACGGCAGTAATGAGAATAAGAACAACAGCAACACTTGTATAGCACCTACCGTGCCAGGAACTTTTCCTATATTCACTCATTTAGTCCCCCTAACAACCCTGTGCAGTGGAGACTATTAATACGCCCATGCTACAGGTGATGGAGCAGAGGCACAGAGAAGATCAGTAACTTCTCCAAGGCTAACCTCAAAGGTGGCCAGGTCAGGCCGTGAGCCTGGAGAGCTGATTACAACGGCTCCGGTCACTTTTCCTGGCATGAGGTGGTTTAGAACGCTCACCACCCTGGCTGGCTGTCCTCTGAACAATCATCGCTTTGTGAACATCTCTTGCTCTTAACATGTCCCAGCCAGGACTGGATTTCACGTGTGAGCTGAGAGCTCGGAACCTACTCTAGAGGGGCTGACTCTGTCCTCAGGGGGGGCTCCAGGTGAGAGGCTGCTGGAGGGCACCTGCCTGCGAAGACATTGTGCTGCAGGCTGAGCTCACGGGGTCATGTGTGGAGGGACTGAACTGAGGCTGTGTGTTCATGCCCCCTGGGAGACAGGTTGGAAGTGCTAGGATATGGAGGAGAATGGGGCTGGGGAAGGGGCCAAAAAAGGGAAGCGAAGGCTTCTAGGTGGTCCTTGGAAGAAGGAGGGAGCAGGGTAGGTCCCCAGATGCACACCGGCAGAGGAGTAAGCTGATGAGTTTCCAGTACCCAGCTCTGCCTAGTACTTCCAGAATGCTGGTTGAGAATGCTCTACTGGGGGTCTCTGGATGGGTGGGATGGAGGCCTGAGCAAATCCCCGGCTGGCGGGTGAGCATGGGCTCTCCTGTGAGAGGCAGCCAGGGAGGGGAAAGAGGGAGGGAGGATAAGGAGACACAGACAGGAAGAGAGCAGACGTATCAGCCCCTAAACCTCCCCGTGTCTCTGCCCCTGACAGTCTGTCCTGACAGGGAAGTGGGGCTGGAGGGGAGACGGCCAGCTTTGGGGAAAGCAGATTTTGCTGCCCGATCTCTAGTGCTTCCAAGCCCGGAGGCAGAAGTAGTGGAAAAAGCAGGGACCGTGGAGTCGAACAGGCCTGGGTTTAGATCTCAGCTCCAGCACATCCTAGCTGAGTGACCGGAGAGGAGTTGTCTAGTGGATGGGCCTCAGTTTCCTCAACTGTCAAATGGGGTTAGTAATGCTGGCCTGATTGAATTGTGCATGGGTTCACCCACCCGCCAGTGCAGGGCTGCCTGCCAGAGCAGATGAGAGTTAAGGGTCGTGGCTGTGACCTGGGTAGGAGGTCAAGGTTAGAAGCCTGGACTGTCTTGCTGAAGCCACTGTCGGCATTCTTTATCCCCTCTCCAGCCCTGGTCTCCTCTTGCCAGGGCCCTCCTGCTTGCAGGACAAGATCTGAAGTCATTAGTGGGGTTACTCAGAGGTCAATTCTCTTAGCTTCAGGTGTCAGCTGAAAGGGAGGGAGAGATTTCTTTTCCGAAGGGGTAATACGGGGATACTTCTTTCTGCTTTAAGCCAAAAAAAGGGAGAGAAGCAGACCGTGGGGAGTGAGGGCGTTCTGTACGGTGCCTGGCCTCTTCTGGAGGCCTAGTCACAGGTGGGAGTGGAGGGGGTGGTCATCAGAGGCCTCTCTGGAAGAGACGGGGGGAGCCGAATATGAGGAAGGCCACTGAGGGGAGAGCCTGGCCCAGGGACAGCCGGGGGCCCAATGGGGAAGAGTGACGTGGCTCGAGAAGTGATAGCTTGGAGCTGGTGATGGGAATGAGGGAGAGGAGGGGGCTGAGGAGGGGCACAGAGGGACTTGAGACAGCTTGGGGGTGGTGGTGGAAAGGGAGGCCCAGCCAAGTGTGGTGGCTCATGTTGTGGAAGTACTCCAGACAAGTTGGGGCACCTGGATTCTTCCTATGTGACCAGGAGAAAGAAACCTCATTTCCCAGGGCTTCAGGCTCCTGTCTGTGTCTTCCTGATGTTCGGTGACCTCTTCACTTTGTGTCAGTGAATGTTTTCTCATTTAACCCTAAGAGCTTCATGCAGTAGGCAGATCTAGCAAAATGTCCATTTTACAGATGAGGAAACTGAGGCTGAGATTCAGAAAGGTTGGGTTACTTGCTAACATTACACAGCTAGAAAGTGTGTGTCTGGAACACCAGGACCCACATCCAGCTGGCTCAGGCCCCGGTGCTCTTTCTGGGGCACCTCACTGACCTCCTACAATAGCCAGAGCCAGCAGGGACAGAATGGAGGGTGGTGTGATGGTTACAGTGCTTTCTGACCCATTTCCCGGCCATGTGACCTTGAGGAGGCCACCATGCCTCAGGCTTTTCACCTGTATTTCACCTGTAAAAGTATTAGCTAACAGTGGCTAATAGCTCAATTACACTGAAGATTAAGTTAAATAACGTACATTCTAATATCACGGTGCCAGGCTCATATTGAGTGCTCAGTAAACGCTAGCTATTATTGTCATTCTTTTCATGACCAATAACAAACAAGTCTCACAGAATGTCACACACACCTCTGACCTGTGCTACATTTCTCCTGTGAGGGGACGAGGGGCAGCTGGAGCTGATTTGATGCCTACGGCCCAGCCGGCTGGACTTTCCAGAGGGAGACAGAAATGGAGCCGAGAGGAGAAGGGCTGTGAGGGTGTGGCCTGGACAGCGGTTAATGTAGCTGCACATTAGGACCCCCTGGGGCTCTTGCAAAAACAACCTTGTTTGGGCCCCACTCCAGACCTGCTAAACCTGAATCTCTTGAGGAGGGCCCTGCACTGGTATTTGACTTTTTCTTTAATTGAGGTGTAATTTACGTCCACTAAAATGCACAAATCTCAGGTACTCATTGAGGTTTGATAATTGAGATACCAAACATTTCCATGACCTGGTATCCCTCTGTAGTCAACTCATCTCCCTCTCCTACTCTCACTTTCTGACTTCTGTCACCATCAATTAGTTTTATCTGTGCTTAGACTTCGCATAAATGGACTCATACACTATGAGTCCCTTTTTATTGCTGAGTGGTATTGATGGGCATTTGGGTTGTTTCCAGCTTTTTTGGCTATTATGAATAAACCTGCTATGAACATTCATGTACAAGTCTTTATGTTTTCATTGATCTTGGGTAAATAGCTAGGAGTGGAATTGGGAAAAGATCCAGAAGTAAAGTTGCTGGGTCCCGAGGTAGATGTACATTAACTTTATAAGAAATTACCAAATGATCCTTCCAATCCGTTATGCCATTTTCGGCTCTCTCCAGCAGCAGTTCCAGATGCTCCCCCTTCTCACCAACATTTGATGTTGTTGGTCTTTTAGTTTTAGCCTAATGGATGTTAAATAGTACCTCATCATGGTTTAGCTTTGCATTTTTCAGAGGACTAATTATGTTGAGCACCTTTTCATGTGTTTGGTGACCATTTGTATATTTTTTTGGTTCCTTTTAAAAACAATTTTTCTTTTTATTGTTGATTTGTAAGAGGTTTTTCTATTTCAGGAATTCTTCCTGAGATATTTCTTATTCCAAGAAATTTTGCCTACCCCAAAGTCATGAAGCTATCTTTTACGTTTTCTTCTAAAGTATTTATGGTTCTGAATTTTATGTTTAGATCTATCATCCATCTTGACTTGATTTTTGTGTATGGACTAAGGCAGAGGTTGAGGTTCATTTCTTTTTTTTTTCCGTACAGTATCCAGTGCTTCCAGCACCATCTGTTAAAAAAAATTATTTTCCGCATTGAATTGAATTGGTGCTTTGGTCAAAAATCAGTTGACCATGTATGTGTGAGTTGAGTTCTGGGCTCTCTTCTGTTCCATTGACCTATCGTCTATCCTGACAGGAGCACTACACTGTTTTGATCACTGTGGCTTTACAGTAAGTCTTAAAGTCACATAGAGTAAGCATTCCAACTTTGCTTTTCTTTTCCAAAATTGTTTTGGCCATTCTAGATTCTTTGCATTTCCATATCATCTTAGAATCAACCTGTCAATTTCTTAAAAAGTGTTTGCTGAAATTTTGATAGGGAAGTGTTTAATCCAAAGATTAAATTGGGAAACATCTTAACTATATTGAGTTTCTGATCCATGAACTTATGTAACTCTCCTTTTATTTTGGTCTTTGATTTGTTTCAGCAGGATTTTCAGTGTAGCTGTCTTGCATATCTTTCCTTAGATTTATTCCTAGTATTCGATGTTGTTTATGCGATTTAATATGGTGTTTCCTGATTTCCTTTTCCAATTTGTATGCGAGTCTGTAGAAACACAATTAATTTTTGTATATTGCTTTTGTGTCCTGCAACCTTGCTTAATTTATTGATTAGTTCTAGGTGTTTGTTTTGTTTTGGTAGATTCTATCCCTAAGGCCCTCCTCTACTCTCAGACTTCATGATGGAGACAGTAACAGGCCCTGTATTGAGAAGAAGGAATGTGACGATTTATACCGGGGAGTGTATACCTTATGGTGTTCACCTTATGGTGTTCGGGGCCCCACCCGAAACTCATTAAAACTGAATCTTTGGTGGGAGGACCGGTGGGGGAAGGGAGTGTGCCGCATCGGTATTTTTCAAGTTCCTTGGGAGATTCTAGAAGTGCAGTCGAGAACCCCTGATTTAGAAGGTGCCGGGTGGCAGACGGGCCCAAAGGCCACCCTTGCCTGAGGGGATCGGCTCAGTCCTCTGAGGGGATGACCTGCCCAGTTCGAGGCCACCCTCCTCTCCTACCTTGGGAAAGGGCAGACAAGTTCCGGGTTCCCTCCTGAGCCAGGGCGAGTGGGAGGAGAGCGCCTCACAGACAGGCGCCTCCTGCCTCTCCCTTACATAAACAGGCGGCAATAAATGCTGTCCCTGCCGGGGCTCACTGTCGCCTCCACTTCCCCCGCGGGCACACCTGTCCACCCCTCGTCCCCCCCCCACTCCCGCCCCCGCCCCCTCAGGTACCAGATAGCCCGGGAGACACCAGAGCTATTCCCCGCAGGCTTCTCCGGGATGAGCCGATCTCCCAGGTTACAGAGGGGGACACTGAGGCCCAGAGGGGCCAGGGATTCGAGCGGGGGCCCCCCCAGTCCGAGCCTTTTCCCATCGCCCCTCCCAGGTACGCGAAAATTAAAGAGGAGCTGGAGGAGCTGGACCGCATCACAGAGCAGACGCTCTACGATCTGTACAAATACAACTTTTCCAACACCCTCGTGGCCCATCCCCGCGGCCGTCGCGACCTCGGGGAGACCCTGCCGCACCCCCTGCAGCGCCTGCCGGGCCCGGCCCCGCCCCACGAGGCCCGCAGAGCCCGCATGGCTTCCAGCGTGCGGGACAACAATCCCCAAGTGAACAGGAAGGACTGGAAGATCGGCTTCCAACTGGTAAGGCCCCGCCCCGGCCCGGCCCGCGGGCGCAGCCCCGCCCGCCCCGGTCCTCGGGGCCCACCCACTCCCGGGACTCCGCTCCCTTTCCGGGCCCGCCTCGGCCGCCTAGTGATTGGGTGCGCGGCCTCGTCGGCTGGCTGGCTAAATAAATAAATGAATTTTGAAAATTAAAATTAAATAACATCTCTCTGTGCGCCAGCTTGTGGGGTCCCCTGGCTGGGCGCCTCCGTGGGAGCGTTTAAGCGGCGGGAAGTCATGGAAGTGTCGTGGAAATGCACCTTTCTAAACTCCAGTCTCCACTGGTGGGACTCAGTTGGGATCCCCCGATGTGATGGGGAACCGGGGCCCTGCCGGCCTAAGACAGAGAATAAAGAGACAGTAAAAAGGGGGACTTAAAAAAATTGTTTTAATAAAAAATAAAAGGGAGATAAGCAGAGGGAAGAAGAAAGAGAAGTCGTCTTTAGCGAGAGTGGGCCACACTACCGGGAGACTGGAGTTCTGGTCCTAGCACTGTTGCTGGGAAGAACCTCGATCCCTCAGTCTTCCCGTCGTCGGTGAAAAGGGGAGAAGAATCCTTGCTCCACCTTCCTGCGGAGGCTGTGAAATGCAGTGCAATGCGTGCACCTCCCTCCTGGCCTCCCCTCCCTTAACCCCATGCTCTCCTGGTCCGCTGGGGGCTTCTCCTCGCTGCCTTCAGTTCTAACCCATCCCGGCCCCCCACGCCTGTCCATCATCCTCAGGACCCCAGACCACTCATTCCTTGACCTTGACCCCACCCTGCTGCCTGTCCCTTGCTGCTGGCCCTCTGACACTCTAGTTTCTGTATCCAGTGCAACCAGAACAAATCGGACTGCTTCTACCAGACATACTCGTCAGGGGTGGATGCGGTGCGGGAGTGGTACCGCTTCCACTATATCAACATTCTGTCGCGACTGCCGGTGGACGCCTCTGTGTCCCTAGAGAAGGACCAACTGGACAACTTCATCTTCGCCTGCCGCTTCAATCAGGTCTCCTGCAACCAGGCGTGAGTCCATCCTGCCTGGCTGTGTGCTCCCCACGGGTCTCCTGACCTGGGCTGGCCTGAGGCCCAGCGTGGGTGACACCCAGGAAGTCCTTGTGGACTAAATAAGTGCCCATGGGGAGGAGGGGGCAGCATTGACCTCAGGTGCAAACCTCCGCCCCAGGAATCCAGCTTCCGGAGTGCTGCTGCTCCCTGGGGGCTGGGTCGGAGTGAGGCAGCTTCATGGAGTGAGGCAGCTTCATACGATGCTCTGGGAAGGCTGGGGCCTGAGGTCTGGCTTTGAGAAACCGAGGGCTAGAAGTATGATTTTCTGTCTTTCAAAGGCCTCTTTCTCACCACCATCAAACTCAAAAGTGCCTGGAAGACCATCTGGTCCCCTACTCCACTTTCTCAGATGAGGCGGGCCCTGGTGGTATGGTGGAAATAGGACAGATGGAGTGAGATAGTAAACCTGAGTTCCTGCTCTGGCTCTATGACTTCCTGGCCAGGTGACCCTGGGCATCTCACATCACTCTAGGGACTGTTTATAAAATGGAGAAAAAATGAGATTCATGGGCTGGCCCAGTGGCATAGTGGTTAAGTTCGCATGTTCCACTTTGGCGGCCTGGAGTCAAGGGTTCAGATCCCGGGCACTGGGCACAGACCTACACACCACTCATCAGGCCATACTGTGGCAGCATCCCACATACAAAATAGAGGAAGACTGGCACAGATGTTAGCTCAGGGACAATCTTCCTTAGCCAAAAAAAAAAAAAAAAAAAAAAAGAGAGAGAGAGATTCATTCAATGCTTATTCAATAAATATTTGACTGTCTGGGCTTTGTGCCAGTCACTGTTCTAGGCATGTAGGATAACTCAAAGAGGAAAATATATGTAATCCTTGTCCTTTTGGCACTTTTCCTCTAGTGATGAAGATGATAACACCCATCTCCAAGTACGAGATAGCAAATGGGAGGGTGCTTTGTAAACCACAATGAATGATGGATCTCGTGCCCTCAAACAGTGACTTGCCCTCTGCCACCAGGCCAGCCCAGCTAAGGATTCTTCCGACTCTGCCTCACTGCCTGCCAGGCATTCTTTCTGTCACGACTCCTGTTGTAATGACCTTGCAAAGAGGTCGCGGCAGCTTACAGCTCTCTGAGGGCTGGGAGAGGCAAGGAGTGAGGGAGGTCCCCTTCTGTAGCCTCTGGCCCCTCCTCCCCCTCCTTCCTCTCCCTACTGCTTCTCGGTTTTCAGGTGCCATCTGCCTGCCTCTGCCTGGCTGGGGTAGGGTGCTGAGGCAACATCTCCCTCCCATGTCACTGCAGAATGGTGTTAGGGCCAGGTGTCACCTGCTTCCCCCTACCCCTCACCTGGCACTCACGCTTTGCCTAGCACACAGTTTGGTTCCTGTCTCCAGTCTTCATGTTTCTTTGAGGACAGCTGCTACCAGGTGGCAAGCGAGATGGTGCCTGCACCTGAGCCTGGGTCAGCCCACATCTGCCACTGAGTCTAACTGTCACTTCCCACCGGTCCTCTCACTTGGCCTGTCCCTTGCTCCTACCTCCCCATCAATGGAAAGTCCATCAGCTCAGTCTTGCAGCTTGGGTCACTTTCTTAGCTCAGAGCCTCATCATTTGTCACCTGGGTTACTCTAACCTGCCACCGCCATTTGTCTTTTTGTCTCTAAATTCTCCCCTCATTCTGCAGCCACAGGAAGCTTTATACTTCACTGTTCTTACTTCATTGCCCTGCACTTAACTGTTCCAGTTGGTCCTGTTTTAGTATATTCACAGAATTGTGCAACTATTACCCCTATCTAATTTTAGAACTTGTTCCTCACCCCCAAAAGAAGTCCTGGATCCATTACCAGTCACTCCATAAGTCCCTCCCCTCCTAGCATTTCCCAGAATGTGCACCAGTATTTCACACCCTGTGCCTTTGCTTTTGAGGCCAATGGAGTATTCCAGATCATCTAGTTCCAGTGTCCTCATTTTACAGCTGAAGAGAATAAGCTCAGAAAAAATGACTTGCTCAAGGCCGTACAACCAGAAGCCCATTCATTCCTGCCCTGGGATCTGATCTTCTTCCCCTCAGCTCCATGTTCACACTGGTCTCACTCTCCCCTCTACTCTGTTCCCTTCCGTTTCTCCATTTCATTCACTCAATGAATATTTGTTAGCTATCTCCTGTATGCCAAGAACTGTGCAGTTAGCTCAGAGATGATACAGAGATGGATGCGATGTGGCTCTTGTCCTCAAGGAGATCACAATCCAAAGGGGGAACTAAGATTTAGACATGTAAGAAGCTAGGGACACTGTAAGAGTCTTTGCAATGCAACATAGTGACACAAGAGCGGTCACAAGGCCAGTGAGGTCAGGTGGCCTGGTGGGAGGATCCTGGGCTAGAAGGTAGATGACCTGGGCTTGAGTCCCAAGTTCATTATCACTTTGTGACCTTGGGCAGCTACTTGACTTTTCTGAGCCCCAGCTTCCTCTTCTGTGATGTGGGGATGATGCCCTCACAGGCTGTTGGTTGGAGTGACTGAAGGAGTGTGGGTAAAGCGCCCAGTGCTGTGTCAGCACATAGTAGGTGATCAGGAAACAAAGGGCACTGAAAGTCCCACTCTCCCTGACCCCTACACTTTGCTCTCTGACCCTGCTCTCTCTCTCCTGGATAGGAATTACTCCCACTTCCACCACCCGATGTATGGGAACTGCTACACTTTCAATGACAAGAACAACTCCAACCTCTGGATGTCTTCCATGCCTGGGATCAACAATGGTGGGCAGCTCCCCGTTCCCTTAGTCCTCCACCTTCTCACAGCCTTGCCACCCACATTTACCCACCCGGAGCTCACATCCTAGAGATGCTGTGCACTCTGGGCCTCACCACAACATGCCTATCTCTATCCTGGAAGGAATCCTCTTTGTTCTTTCTCCCCTATGGGCACCACACAATCCATTCCAGGTGTGAGAGGAATCCTGTCCCAGTCCTTCCTACCTGCCCCCGAATCCAGCTCACCCGTAGGTCTTCCAGGTCTTGCTCTCCTTGGAGCATTAGAGACTAGGCAGGGTGGGAGGGAGGTTTCTATCCCCTGACGCTTCTCTAAGGCATTCCCCCCACTCTGCTTCCCCAGGTTTGTCCCTGACGCTGCGCACAGAGCAGAATGACTTCATCCCACTGCTGTCCACGGTGACTGGGGCCAGGGTAATGGTGCACGGGCAGGATGAGCCTGCCTTTATGGATGATGGCGGCTTTAACTTGCGGCCTGGTGTGGAGACCTCCATCAGCATGAGGAAGGCAAGGATGGCCCCACATTGCAGAGGGGCAGCGAGAGGACATGGGAGGTGGACTTGACAGCCAGAAGACTGTGGAGGGAAATCATGCAGGCTGAGCCTTGAGCACGTGGAGGACTTCAGGAGCAGAAGTCAGGGGTGAGGGGGCTGCAAAGTGGGCCTCGGGAAGTAGGGACCTGAGGAGTGGATCTTGGGTGAGAGTGCTGAGAAGGGGTTCAAGACATGCTTAGGAGTCTGGGATGCTCTGGGCCCAGTGTTCTTGAAAGTAGCACTGGGATGGGTGTTGGGGGCCACAAGGGGCATGTTTTGAGATGGTGAGGCAGACAGGAGAGGCTGGCAGGGTAGGAGGTACAAGCTGGGACTGAGGGAAGACAGAGAATTCAGGAAGAGTCCTGGGCCACTTGCTCTGACCTCTGACTTCTTGGTGTGTGTGGGTTCACAGGAAACCCTGGACAGACTTGGGGGTACCTATGGTGACTGCACCAAGAATGGCAGCGACATCCCCGTCCAGAACCTTTACGGGTCCAAATATACACAGCAGGTGAGGCCAGCCTGTTTCTATGGCAAACATCTCCCAGGCTTACACTGTTGGTCCAGGTTGGAGGGTGTGTGTGTCGGGGGCGACCAGTGGAAAGAGGGATGGAGGCAGAGAATTGTTTGTCCTTCCCTTCCCTGCCTCTTCTGGGCTGTGTTGGGGGAGGGCAGGCCTGAACCCCCCTCCTCTTCACCCTCCTCTCCTCCAGGTGTGCATTTACTCCTGCTTCCAGGAGAACATGATCAAGGAGTGTGGCTGTGCCTACCTCTTCTATCCGCCACTCCCGGGTGTGGACTTCTGTGACTACAGGAAGCATAATTCCTGGGGTGAGACTCCAGGGAGCCCCTGGCCTGCCCCATCTGACCCCAGGACTTTCCCGGAGCCCTCCCCTCTCAGCGCCCAGGCCTGCCGTCTGTGGGGCGGCTTCCGGCTCCCGCTGGCCTTGACTAATTCTCCCGCTCTCTTGTTCTCCACTCCTTTAGGCTCGCCTCTCTCAGTTTCCTCTCACTCTCTGTCCCTCTCTTCTGTCTCTGTTCCTCCCTCACAGTTTCTGTCTCTCTCTGTTTTGGCTTCTGTGTGTTTAGAAAGGAATGGCCTCATTTAAAAATAACTTCGGCATAAGGAAGGAAGAGCACATGGGGAAAACCTCCCTCGTTCCGCACTCTGCCTGCTGAGGTTTCAGTGCACGCTCTGCCTCAGCCTCCCTGGGGGCTCAGCCGGCCTGCCGAGGCCCAGGACAACTCACTGGGTGCAGGAGGAAGACACATGAAGTCCTCTGTATCTGTCTCATTTCCTAACAGCTTCCATTTTATGTATGTTTTATAATTACATAAGGTATCAATTCGTTAGTAGCAGGTATGTAATTTATAAACCAAATATATACATTAGAGTTGTTTAAGAATTTTTTACCTACAGGAGAGCACAATTAAAAAAGTTTGGAGAGCACTGGACTCTCCTTATCCTGGTCTGGGAGTGACAAATCCCTTTTTCTTACCGCTCGGCTGAGTCATTCAGCAGGGAAGCCGGGTGCTAGGAGGCTGAGAGAGAAAGTCCCAAACAAGAAACTGTAGAGAATGATGGGCTGGCGTTCCTGGTGCGTATGCTCTGATCTGGCCCCCAGGCCCCCAGGCCCCTCCCCGGCAGAATCTCCCAGAGGAGGTGGGCACTGGCCACTGCTGGGGGAGATAGCCTTCACACCTCTCAGGGTGTGACATGGGAGCGGCACTGCAGACCCTGGAGTTTGGGGTCTGCCCCGTCTGGGCTCTGTCTGTGCTCTTTCTGCCTCCTTTCTTCCCAAGTCTGCTCCTCACAGCTCTCTCCTGCCTGTACTTTGCCATCAGGCCCTCCTGGTTCCTGTCTCTCTGACCTTAGAAGATCAGAGTGCATCAGAGCTGGAGGGAAACTCAGGCCCTGTGGCCTCCCCTTCTCCTTTCTCAGATGAGCAAGCTGAGGACGTGACGTCCCAGGACGTGCTGAGTGAGCCAGGACGCCCTGCCCGCTGCTTCCCCTGCTACCAGACAATGATTGCTAAGTGGTTCTGAGTTTGAAGATTGGAGGGAGAAAAATAACAATGCTGATTGCTGAGGAGCTGTGAGGATGAGGGGGAGGAATTAAGGCGAAAAACAGTCTGTGGCGTTTCCTTGAGGACTGCCTCCTCTCCAGAGAAAAGCGTCCAGCTGCTTCCCATTTTCCTAATTAAGACCCTGAGCCCTGGTAGACAGAGGAATTTGGCTCAGAAACAAAGAAGCACTTTGGATTGGGTGACTAAAAGTAGCAAGAATGAGAAAATAATCTTACTGAGAACTTGGGAAATAGGGGAGAGGGGATCCAGAGACCCAGTCTTTTTTTGTAACTGCTTTGTTGAGATAATTCATATTCCATATAATTCACCTTTTTAACGTGTGCAGTTCAATTTCAGTACAGTTTTAGTTTTTAGTATAGTCACAGAGTTGTGCAACCATTGCCACAATCAATTTTAGGATATTTTCGTCACTTTCAAACAGAAATTTTCTACCCATTAGCACTCTGTTCCCTGTGCCCACAGGCCCTGTCCCTTCTCCTTCCCCCTAACTGCCCCTGGCAACCACTAATCTACTTTCTGTCTTTTTTTTTTTAAGTATACTTTTTGGTGAGGAAGATTGGCCCTGAGCTAACATCTGTTGCCAATCTTCCTCTTTTTTTCTTCTCCTCGAAGTCCCAGCACATAGTTGTATATCCTAGTTGTAAGCCGAATACTTCTTCTATGTGGGGCGCTGCCTCAGTGTGGCCTGATGAGCAGTGTGTAGGTCACACCCAGGATCTGAACCAGAGAACCCCAGGCTGCCACATTGAAGCGTGTGAACTTAACCACTCGGCCACCAGGCCGGCCCCTACTTTCTGTCTTTATAGCTTTGCCTATTCTGGACGTTTCATGTGAATGGAATCATACAGTGTGTGGTCCTTTGTGACTGGCTTCTTTTGCTTAGCATAATAACGTCTAGGTCCATCCACCTTACAGCATGTGTTAGTACTTCACTCCTTTTTATGACTGACTAGTATACCATTGTATGGATATACCACATTTTGTTTATTCATTTATAGTTGATGGACATTTGGGTTGTTTCTACTTTTTCGCTATTGTGAATAGTGCTGCTAGCAACATTTATGTGAACATATATTTTCAATTCTCTTGGGTATACACCTAGGAGTGGAATTGCTGGGTCATATGGTAACTTGATGTTTAGCCTTTTGAGGAACTTCTGGACTGTTTTCCAAAGTGGCTGCACCATTTTACATTCCCAGCAACAATGTGTGAGGCTTCCACTTTCTCCACATCCTCATCAACACTTGTTATTGTCTTTTTTTATTATAGCCATCCTGGTGGGTGTGAAGTGGTGTCTCATTGTGGTTTAATCTCATTATTCGTATGCAACAATTGTTCCCATTTTTCTTTTTGACTTTTAAGTTTTTGTCCATATTGTACACATCCTTACATAGGTGTATCCTGTTGTGTTTTTTTCCCCCCCAACTTAGCTTAATTTCTTAAACATTTCTTGGTGCTGCCACTCAGGATGCATCTCTGTAATGCTGCTTAGTGCTCTTGTGAAGTGGGTGCCCAGGGATCTTGGGAGAGCTCTTGGGTGTGGGGTGGAGAAGGTGGCAGTGCCCGAGGAGAACGGGCGCCTCTCTGCACCCACAGGCTACTGTTACTATAAGCTCCAGGATGCCTTCGCCTCCAACCGCCTGGGCTGTTTCACCAAGTGCCGGAAGCCATGCAGGTGAGCGTCCCCTTCCCCTGGGGTGCAGGTTGGGCACCCGGCTGCTTGACCTGTAGAATCTGGGGTACTCAGCTAAGCCTTTGAGTGGAAGAGCCCCACCCTGTCACTGAGCATCTTTCTCCATTCCCAGTGTGACCAGCTACCAGCTCTCTGCCGGTTACTCACGATGGCCCTCAGTGACATCCCAGGTAAAGTGGCGTGGGGGGCTGGGGGGGGGGGGCGTGTGTGTGTGTGTGTAATGCCGTGATCTTCTCTGCTGTGTATGGGTGTGTTTGACTCCACTCCCAACCCTGTAAGCCTGAAGACTATCGGGGTGACCCCATTGATACCCCCGTTCTTTCCCAGGACTGGGTCTTCCAGATGCTATCCCTACAGAACAATTACACCATCAATAACAAAAGGTCAGTCCTATCCTGGTCCTGGCCCAGGGAAAGGAATTCTTGGGAGGGAAAAGGAATTGGGAAGTGGAATTACTACAGTTGGAGGAAGGTGCATGCCAGGGTCCGAGAAGTTAATCTTCCGCCATTTCTTCCCACCCCCTCCCCTACTCCAAAGAAATGGGGTCGCCAAACTCAACATCTTCTTCGAGGAGCTGAACTACAAAACCAATTCTGAGTCTCCCTCTGTCACGGTACGTCCTGCCACACTGAGGCTGTGGTCCTCTTGGGGGTCTTAGCGGGGTGGCTGTCAGGGAAAACAAGAGTTGCCTCTCTGGGCCTCGAAGGTAGGGGACCAGGGCAAGGAGAGAGGTCAAGGGTGAGGTTGGAGGGTTAAGAAGGGGGGCTCAGCTAGGGGGTGATGTGTCTGAGGGTGGTGGGAGGGAAAGGTGTGCCAGATGGGTATGCCTTGGCCAGAAAGTGTTCAGGGGGCCACCGAGAGGCTGAGAGGGGTGGGTGAGGGCCTCAGGTAAGGAGGAATGGGGCTCCTCTGCTGAAGCCCACCCAGGGCCCTCAGTCCCAGTGGTCAGTGTGCCTCTCTCCCTCACAGATGGTCACCCTCCTGTCCAACCTGGGCAGCCAGTGGAGCCTGTGGTTTGGCTCCTCGGTGCTGTCTGTGGTAGAGATGGCTGAGCTCATCTTTGACCTCCTGGTCATCACATTCCTCATGCTGCTCCGGAGGATCCGAAGCCGATACTGGTCTCCTGGCCGAGGGCGCAGGGGTGCCCGGGAGGTGGCCTCCACTCCAGCGTCCTCCCTCCCTGCCCATTTCTGCCCCAACCCCGCGTCCCCCTCCTCCTCCCCACCAGGCCCTGCTGCCTCCCCGGCCCTGACAGCCCCTCCACCTGCCTATGCCACCCTGGGCCCCTGCCCATCTCTTGCCAGCTCGGCGGGGGCCAGCTCTTCTGCCTGTACTCCAGGGGAGCCCTGAAGAGAAGGAGAATGTCCCCCAAAAGGCAGGCACTTCCCCTGATGGGAGGGGACCAGCCTTGGCAAGATTAAAGAATTTTGGGATTCCTCTTGGAGCTGCCCAGCTGCCTTTAATGTGGGGGAGGGAAGCAGGATGGATGAGGGGCGATAGAAGTTGCCTGGAGAATAGGGGCCAAGGCAGCTGCCCAGAACTCCCTGGCTCCTGCCCTGTAGCCCCTGGTCCTGCCTCTAGAACCCTCTGCTTTCCCTTCCCAAGTGCAGACAAGTCTCCTTTTCCCTTGGAGCGGTCAAGCCAAACTTGGAGCTTTGACAAGGAACTTTCCTAGGAAACAACAGCCGACCAGAACAAAACAAACAAGGGCACGCAAAGGCATGCACGGGTCTCCTACCCAGAGACGACTGAAGCCAGCCCCACGCTGGCCTGGCCACACTGCTTTCCAGGGACACAGACGTGTGCTCCTCTTCTTGAACTTGGGTGGGGAACCCCACCCAAAAGCCCCCTTGGTTAGTTCTTGGGCAGTTCCCCTTCCCTGACTCCCCAGGGCAGGGGCTGGAGCAGACCAATATATTAAGAAGGCTTGGCCATTCCTACTTGGCCCCAGGACTTTTCCAGCCTCATCTACCCGGTGCCCCCCAGAGCCACACCCCAGCACCTGTGCCCTGTGTTCTTGATTCCTCTGCATATTTGCTCAAGTTATTTCCTCAGCCTGGAAGCTTCCCCCACCATCTGCTGGAGAACTCCTATGCATCCCTTAGAACCCTGCTCAGACACCACCACTATGGAGGCTTCTGCCCCATCTTGTCTTCCCTGGAACTGATCACTCCCCTCTCCTCTGGACTCCCATAGCACACCATAACATCTGTTGGAGTGCTGATGTTGCATTACACTTTCTTGTTCATTTGTGTCTGCCTCCCCAGCTAGAGTGCGAGCTCTTTGTGGTCAGGGACTGAGTCTTGTTCATTTATGTATCCTCAGGGTCTAGCCCAGTGTCCTGCTTGGAGCAAGTAGGCAGGTCATCAATAAATGTTTGTTGCATAAAGAATGTCTGGAGAGCTGGAATGAGGGCACAGTGAAGGGGGGAGGGAGTGGATGCAAATCCCTGGATGACTCTTGGGGGGTCCCGGGCTGGGGAAGAGGACAGACTCCCATACCCCTTGGCTTCACTATGGAAGTGACCGTTCTTCAGGGGCCTTAGGAGAGACGCACTGTCCTGCTGGCTCCTCCATGGGCGTTGCTGAGCATCTCCTCTGGCCCCATCACCATGTTAGTGTGGGAGGGTGAAGACATGGTCCCGTTCCCCCCAAGGAGACCTACTGGGCAGTGCTTGGGATGACTCGCCCCCATCCACTGTCTGAACCTCCTTTTCCTTCCCTACTTTAGTTACTATCGTCAATAATCCTCCACTCCATTCACTGAGTACCACTTGCCACCCAGCTGCAACATATTGTCTTCATCTGCCCACCTCCCCATCAATTGCCCAGTAGTCGGGGAGGAGGATGAGACTCAGGCCAGTCAGTCCGAGGTTCTCCTGGAACCTCAAAGCCTTGTATATTCTCATTCTTGCTTCATCACAGAGAGAGCAGCAACGAGACTCCTCCCAGCTTTCAGTAAAGGAGAAATTGAGGGATGTCTGAGTGGAACCCTGGTCTTTGGACCCCTGGTGCCTTCCCCGACTCCAGCATCAGACCTGGAACCCAGAAGTCACCCTTTCTCATCATCTTTGGGGACATGTCCCCTGCTGCCTTGGTCTTACTCTTCTCAATTAGAATCTCCCTGTCCTGAGGAGCCAAGTGAATCTTGGGGAAAGAGGAGGAGATAGTGAAGGGAGTGGTGAGGTAGAAAAGGTTGTGACCAGGAACTGACGTGATGACATCTGACTTCCCTTTCCTGGACTCCAGCTGATGAGGGGAAAACAGTGGTGTCACAACAGGCTCCTCTGTCAGAGCCCTCAGGTCCAGCCCGGTCTCGTGTGCTTTCTGCCACAGCCTGGACGCAGCCTTGCCCACCTCATCCCCAGCTCCCTCTTCTCCGGTGGGGTGGGCAGGACCTGCTGGGCAAAGCTGGATCGATCATGGATGACAGCAATCAGCTACACTACCCTTCCACCCGCCTCCGCCTGCCCCAACCCGGGCTGGAGTTTCTCCTGGCCTGCTGCATTCCCACCTTCTCTCCATCCCTTGTCTGTGCATTAACTCCTGGATCAGAGGGGTTTTTTTCAAGCTTTAAAAATAGTTTATTTCCTCCTTACAGACACATGAACCTTCTGACCATTATGCGAGGCATCACAAATTAAATAAAAACTTATATTAGAATATATTTGTCTTACGTGATTCAAAATAAAGTGAGTTTTAGAAGCAAATGGGTGCCAATTATGGGGGTCGGCAGGGGATTAGGGCAGGTCCCAGGAATAGGGGGCATGCATTTGTCTACAGTGTTTATTGAAGTAGGCAGTAATCAGCACATATGCATCATATGAGCAGTTATGCAAAATAAGCACATCCAGGAGAGGTACTGTGTCTCACAGTTTCTATGGGGTTATCAGAGTTAGATATTATTCTCATTAGATAAGAAAGCATTTAAGTTGCCTCCTTTTCCTTATGAGGGTTAGCAGGAGAACTCAAGCGTCCCTACAGGACCCACCTTGTCTCCCTGTGACACACAGAGATGGAACGGCAGGGCTGGGGCTAGAGCCCACGTCACCCTGGCTTGGACTCCAGTGCCCTTTGGATCGCTCTGTGCTGCTGTGGGGTGTGGTGACACGTGATGGAGAGAGGGATGTCTCTGCTGTCTGAAGCTCTCTTCATCCTTTTCTCCACAGCCCTAACAGCCAATTCCGTCTTGCCCTAACTCGCCCCGCTCCTGGTTCTCCATCTCTCCATTCTCTCTCTCACCATATTGCTTCTTCCCCTGGAGGGATTCTGGTCTTGTTCTTATCTCCTCCAAGAGACTAGTTAGCTTTTCATTTTCCTAGATCTACCCACCTCTTACCATCTTTTCTCTTTTTAAACAGAATTTTATTGAACACTTTAATACCACCTTTCTCAAAACTTCAAACTTATTGAGCAAATAGGCATTTATGCTAAACAATGAAAGAAATTCTCCTTTTGTGCCAGGCTGTGTGTAATGGCTTTAACAGTTGGCAGAGACTATTAAAAATCTCTTATAACATTAAAAACAGGACATTGAAATTGTTATTAATTATTAAGTCAAACTATTAATATTGACCACTTATTGAATGCTTAATATGTGGCAAATACTTGCTAAACACTTTACAGGCATTTAATCTTGAATGCACACGATGCGCGGGGTGTGTTGCCCATTTTTCAGTTGAGGAGCCTGTGGCTCTCCTTGCTTCTTCACATTGGAAACTGGGCAATCTGACTCTTGCGCTTGATTCTAAGGATACTGCTTCTTCAAGAGCTCTGCTTTGGGTGCACTCATACTGTACTTGGCGTGTGTTGCAACTCCTTCCTCTGTGAGTCCAGCTTCTTCAGAAGCTGGAAGGTGGCGTGAAGTGAAGTCAACCAGAGGTGGGGGCAGCCAAGCTCCATTCTCATCTACAGATGCTCTACCCATGGGATCAGAGAGGAGAGGCCAGGAAGAGTCAGGGAGGGTGGACTCTGGGGTGGGGGTCAGCTGGTGGATCAAGGGGAGAAGGGGCCAAGAACTCTGATTCCAAGTCACAAAGTGCTAGGACCTCTCTCCTCTCTGGTCTCCCTGCATTTCTAGCAACCTCAGCAGCTGAAGGACATTGGCCTGGGTTGGGTATAGGGAAAGTCATTGTGCCCAGAGGATGTTCTGGTGAATGCTGTATTCTTGTTGTGAGATTGGGAGATGTCCTACACAAATGCGGGTGACATAAAATACTCAAGGGGACAGATAGAAAAGTGGCAATATGTCTATCATAGCAAAATGGGCCCTAGGACTGAAGTCGGGAGTCCAGGTCTCAGCTGGCTCAGCAGGGAACATGCTCAGGGTGTCCTCCGGCCTCAGTTTCTCATCTGCAAAGCAAGGGGGCTGACTAGTTTGTCTCTAAGCTCAATTCGATTGATGTGTCTGAGTATTTGGGAAAAGGGCACTGGGGATGACTAGTAATACCTGATGGAGGTGTCTGCCATTTCCAAAGCGTTTTCACAGACAGGATCTCATTGATCCTCATGACATCCCTTTCCCCATGTCGGTGGGCTAGGCATTGTTACTCTCATTTAATAAAGAGGAATCAAGGCTCAGCGGAGGTCACGCCTGAAGTCCCACGATTGTCTGGTGGTGGAGCCAGGATCAGCAGCTGAGCCCCTGCGGGAGGCTGGCAGAGGACCAGACCCGGGGCTGGCCTCAGGGCCCCCATCAGGGCAGAAAACCAGGGCTAGGATTTCCTCTGAGGGTTGGGTTGGAGGGGTAAATTCCCAAGAAAGTGAGAGATTAGAGTGTCAGTGGCGAGCTCTGGGGACCCGGCAGAGTTACTGAGGCATTCTGAGGACTCGTCACGCCTCAGCACCCATCGTCCTGTCTCAGTAAGTCCTCGCGGCAACCAGGGACACAGGGTCTCCCCATTTTGAAAACTGGAAACCGGGCTCAGAGCTTCGCTTGTGTGTCCAAGACCACTTGGCTAAACAGGGGAGGGCTAGGAACGGGAGCCCAGGGAATCTGAGCCCACAGCGCTGCTCTCCTGGGCCGTGCGGTCCGGGGCGGGGCTGGGGGCCGCGGAGGCGCTCGGCGCGGTCAGGTGGCGGCCGGCACGCGGCGGCCCGGCGCCTCCGAGCGAGTGACAAAGGGTTAAGAACCTTCGCCCCCTCCTGCCGCCTCCTCCTGCCTCCTCCCACAGCTCTTCCTGTCCCGCTGTCGCAACACCCCTTCTGCACTCTCCCCTCCCCTCCCACCGCCTCTTTGCTTTACTGTTCTCGGAGTTCTCCGGACTCAGGCTCCGCTTCTGGCCTTCGGGGTTTGCGCTCCCAGGCACCAGGCCGTGATCTCCGCCCCCGTCTCCACCTTCGAGGTCCCTACCCAAGGCCGGGGCTCCGCTGGCGACCTCCCGACCCCGCGCAACCTGGGACTCAGTCGCCGCCGGGTCCTGATGGGGGAGTGAGAGGCCACAGCTGGCCGGACATGGGCCTCCCCGCCGTGCCTGGCCTGCTGCCGCCGCTGGTGAGACCAGGGACGAGGGCGGAGGGCCTGGAGGGTGAAGGGCGCCGCGGGCAGGAGGGGGCCCTCTCCGGAGAGGGCCGAGGCCTACGCCTGGCCCCGGCCCGGCCTCGGGCCTGCACGGCCTAACCTCAGACTCTGCCAGAAGTTCAGACTGGCCCATCCACCTGCTTGCCCTGAGTCAGGGGCACCGAGAACTTTGAAAGGCAGGGAGGAGAAGGGAGCCGCGCCCTGACAGCCGAGGAAGTGGGCTAGGGCTGGGGCGTCTGGGAGTGTAGGGGCAGGTGAGCGGCCCAGGGTGGGGCAGTTTGTAGGAAAAGGAAAGGAGGGGAACAAGGAAGGTTAGTCCTCCAGAAGATTCCCAATTCTGTCTGTCTGGTCAGCCGGCCGGGTTGGGGGGGGGGGTGGGCAGTGTGTTGAGCTGTGGAGACGTGAGGCTGCCAGTGGGCCCTGGCTGAGCAAACCCTGTTAAAGGGAAGGAGTTGGATGCTAGTAAAGTGGGGAAACTGAGTCTGGGAGAGGCGATGGCTTGGTGGGCTTGGTTTGAGGTGCCATATGACAGGAGTATTGGGGAGTGGCTGGAAAGTGGATGGGGGCAGGGCAACTCAGTGGAGAGCGTCCCCAGTGCCCTCCCCAGGCCCAGGCCTCCCACCTGGGGCATTCTTCACCCTCTGCCTCTGGTTCAGCTTCTAGGTAGGTGGCTTTTGTTGGCCTAACTGTCTCTGGGTAGCTAGCACCACCTCCACCTTGTCAGTGTCCCTGTGCCTGCCCTCCAGCCCCCTCCCCACAGACCTAAACAACAATCCCTTGGTTTCTTCTTCCATAGCTCAGTTTGGGGAAGTTGGTAGAAAGTTGTTTTCGTCACTGGAAAATGTCCCTGTCTCTTGCCACAACCTTGTTTCAATGTATCCTTGATCTCCCCAGTGTCCCGGAGTCATCCCGTGCAGATACCCGGAGTCCCCTCTCCCCCACCTAGTTAGGCAGACTTCCCTGGCCTGTGTTGACCAGTTTCTTCTGGGTCCCTGCCCCTCCCTGGCCCCCCTACCACTCCCCCACCTCTCCTCTCCTTGCAGTCTTACACTTTCTCTCCTAATCATTCCTTCCTTTTCTGTCAGTCTCTCCGATAGTCTTCTCAGACTTCTTAGTCTCCTTTTGAAGCTCTTTCTCTCTAGTTCCCTCCCTCCACCTCTCTTCTCTGCTCCAGTCCACGTTTCTAGACCTGAATTCCCCACGCAGCACCTTTCTCTCTGGGTCTTGCTATTCTTCTCCCTCCCCCACTGCCTGCCTCCGCAGTCCCGTCTTCTCCTCCCTCCTCTCAAGGCTGACTGTCTCCCAGCCTCCTTCACCCCAATCCAGCTGCCCTGTCATCTTACTTTTGTTCTCTCTTTGGGGGTAGATCACCTGGATTCAGATCCTGGCTCCTTCACATACTAGCTGCCTGAATTTGAGCAGGTTATGGAGACTCTCCAGGCCTTAGTTTCTTTATCTCTAAAGTGGACATAATAGTCATTTCCTCATAATGTTGTTTTAAAGATTAGATAGCCTGATATATATTAAGTATTCAATTTATTAAGTGTCTGCCCTGTGCTAGGATTACAGCAGTGAACAACATCTCTGCCTTCATGGAGTTTCCATTCTACTAGAGGAACAGGGTATAGCTAATAGAAAGCATGCGACAAATGTGGGCTTTTATATTATTAGTTTTAGCAGTGTTAGTAGTAATTACTCGGTGGCTATTGTGTTTGGAAAACACAGGGTGCAGGTAGCCTGAACAGATAAAGGAAAGAGCCTGGGAGCTGGTGCTCATCGGCCCAGGTGGGGTTATGGCTGCTAAGCGCCAGAAGCTCAGCCTGCAGCTGGAGGGGAAACAGGAGGTAGGCAGCGTCTGGATAAGGCTGTACATGACCTTTCAATTTCTCACCATCCAACGGGCAATACAGAGCACGCAGTGTTTGTGTGTTGGGGGAGGGAGGTAGGAAGGAACACAGCAGAGAGTGTGACAAAGCACCTAGGATTGTGCTGCTCTCAAAGAGCTTACAGTCTAGGGTCCAAGACACCTTACAGCAAAACATGATTTCAGAACAACCCGGAGGAAAACATCCACATAAGCATTGTGATGTGGGGCCCTGGAACACCGATGGGAGGGAGAACTGGGGAGGGAGATAAGCACAGGCCGGCTGCCTTGTCTTGCTTAGCAGATACCAGCTGTGGTGCTCAGCTCCAGGAGATCCATGTGCTTGCCCAGGCCGATGTCCTTCACCAGGGGAGGAGTCCCTGCAGGGATCGGAGAGCCTCTATTGACTGTCTCTGACCCTACTGGGTCTTGAGAGCAGGAGCAGTGCGTTCATCTCTGCATATGGGACCTGGCGCAGAGACTGTGCTCCTTAACTATTGGTTGAATAAATTAAGGAAGAAGGAATTTGGTCAGATGGGATGAGGGAGGAAGAGCCTCATAGAAAAGTGGATTTGGAGCTGAGATTTGAAGTTACTGATTAGCAGGTGGTTAGAAAGGTGGGGGATTGGTTTGAGGGAGAGTAGAGTATGGAAAGATGAGATTTTGTGTTGGGGGTGGTGGTGGGGGCAGGAAGCTGAAGGCCTTGGCTGGAGTGGAAGGACCATGTTGAGGAACAAGAAGAAATGAGAAGGAGGAAATTGGAGGGAGTCAGGGGGTGGGGGGATGAAGACAGACTCTTGAAGGTGGTCCCAGGTGGAGGAAGTCATTCATTCACTCAGAAGTGATTCTCTGAGGACCCGCTGCGCCAGGAATGTGTTCAGAATAGCAGTGAGGTTGCCCTGCAAGTTAGGGAGGAGTGACCCTTGGAGACAGTGTTTGAAGTCAGGCCCCGGAGAGGAAGATTCCCACATAAGTGGGTGCAAGTTGAAGCCTGAACGCAGATAAGAAAGAGCCTAGGATGGATTGGAGCAGGAAGGAGGCAGGGCAATGGGCTGGAAGACAGCTGCAATAATCCAGGTGTGAGGCAACCCATGGACATGGAGAGGCCTGAGGGATCACACAGGAAGGACTGGCAGATGAGCTGACAGACAGATGGCAGCAGGGGTAGGGATGGGGCCCCTGAGGTGAGAAGGGTGGCAAAGTTCTTTGCATTGGTGCTGAGAAGTTGGTGGTGTGAGATTTGCCTAGGGCAGGAGATTGATAAGTATAGTTTGGGGCACGTTAAGGGTCCAGGGCATAGCTAAGTGGAGTGTGTATCTATCAGGCTAGAGTAGAGGTTCTCAAATTCCTCTCTGCCTCTGTATCATTCGTACGTAGTGCATTCACTCATCAGTTCTTCTCAAAAGGAGAGGAGCACTTGTCAGAATCTCCAGTGAGGTGTGTGATGTGTGTAGGAGGGGGCAGGGTTTGAGAACTCTCCCCTGGACATAAATGTCTTCCTACAGGGGGGCACTGACCCCTGCCTCCCTCTTTGAGACTCACTGGCTTCAGTGGGAGTGGAAGACAGGTCAGTCATTAGATTAACCCATCAACCCAGGTTTGTTTCGCTTCTCCAGTTCTGGGTGCTGAGAAGATACCCAGAAGGATAAGACACTATCTCTGACCAACACGCTCTTTCTGACCTCTCATCTCAGAGTTTATGGTCTCTTTGGGGAGATAGTATCTCCTTACCCAAGATAATTATATTACGATAAGAGCCCAAAGTGGATATAGTTAATTTATGTTATTAAAGCTTCCAGGGGCTCATTAGACCATGAGCTTGTTTAGGGGAAGTGTCATTAATGGGGGGCTTCAGGGAAGGCAGCTGCGATCTCACTGGGCCCTTGGAGGAGAAGCTGTCAGGAGCTCCTCAAAGACTATGACATTAAGTGAACAAACACATTTTAATTTAGTGAACAAATTAATGCGGGGGAAGGGAACAACTAAGTGGTCCCGGGAGGTGGCTGGGTCGGAGTCAGACCACAGGGTCCTCTCAGCTTCCCCGCCCCACTCTGCAGCCCCAGCACAGGAAGTCACACTTTAAAGCGTCCCCAGGCGGAAGTTGTGGAGGAGTTGGAGGGGTGCTGGGCCACCCCCTCAACTGTCTCTCCACAGGCACCCCCCAGCTTCCTGCCCTTGCCCTGCTCCAGGAGACAGGCACCTGGGCTGGGGGCTGGGTGGTCAGAGCTCACCTGTTTTTGCTGCAAGATGTGATTGCTAAGGAACGTGCTCAGTGGAGGAGCCAGCCAGCCGGGGCCAAGAAATGGTGCCTACCGGAGGGAGCCTGAGGGTCCTGGCTTCTAGGGGTCAGAGTGGGCTGGCTGGGGGCCAGGAGAGACCTGGGAAGTAGTGCTGGTGGTCTTAGATCCCTTCTTGCTCGCTCCCTCATTCCTGGAAGAGGGTGTTCAGGGCTCTGGAGTTTTTCCTGTGCTGCCAGTGGGCTTGGGGGAGGGGCTGTGGAGGCTCAGAACGGGCCTTATTTCCTCAGGATTGTCTGGGGACCCCAGGGAGGTCCCCAAACCCAACCCAACTGGCCAGAACGAACCAGGCTGTGGGAATGCAGTGAACCTCGGGTGGGAGGGCAGCCTTGCTTTGCTTCCTTCTGGAACTGGAGAGTGTCAGGGGGCTCCTGCCAGAACCCAGGGACTGGGTTCATCAGTAGGGGACTGGTTGAACTGGAAGGAGGAGCCAGGGCAAGGCTTAGTCTAAAGGAAGGATGCTGAGGAGTGGGAAGGAACTGAGTGGCCCTCAGGGAGGGGTGGGTAGTGACATGATGGGAGGAAGCCAAGGGTCGGCAGAGACTTCCCTTTGGGATAGAATGGGAGAGGGAGCCATTTCCCGAAATCTGCAGGCCAAGTGGGATAGGGGTCCATTGCCCAGCTCTTAGGAGAAGGAGGGGGGGAAGGGAACTCTGAGTAGGGATTGGAGGGAGACGGCCCCGCAGGAGGAAGGGATCAGATGGAGGCCACTTGCTGGCTGGTCCCTCCAGTCTTTCTGCTGACTCATGACCCTTGAGGAGCTGGGGAAGCGGCCGGTCCCCTCTCCCCTACCCTGGATTCCCTCCCTCCCTCTGGCCTGAGTCACTGGGCGGAGCTGCTGGGAAAAGATTTCCCTTTCCCGGATCCGACTTAACCCCCAAAGTGCTGGAGAGGGAGGGGGACACGTGGCCCAAGAAAGCCTCTCTCCTCCCTCCTGGGAAGCTTTTTCCTCCCCGGCCAGCAGTCCCTGCAAAACTCCCCCAAAGGCTGTCCCAGGACTGGAGCCCCCCAGCTCTTCTTCCTGACTCTGTCTCTGCCGCTTAGCTTTGCTCCAAGCCCCCTGGACAGATTCCGAGTGCCAGTGACCTTAGGTGCTGTGAGTTCTTCTTCGGGGAAAGGAACCACACTTTCAGGATTGGGAAGTTCTGCCCATAACCACCCTACACTCTTCCTGTTGCCCTGGAAGGCACAGTGCTGGAGCTGGAGCGGGCCAGGGAAGCCTGCTGCCCTGCGAGCTGGGGATGAGGCCCTCGGGTTGCTGCTGTGCTTCTGTGTGCGCCCTCCCCTATTTGTGGCTGGGGCTTCCGGGCTGCTGCAGCGTCTCCCAGTGGGGGGCTCGGGGTGCGACCTGCCTGTGGCGGCTGCAGTTGCAGGGGGGCTGTGGGCTCCAGGGCCCTCCTGCCCCGGGCTGGGGATTCTGTGATCTCAGTAGTCTGTTGCTCCCTGTGTTTAACATACTTTGAGGACGTCCTCTTATCTTTACATAAAGTGGCTTTTATAGCAGAGAAAAAACAAAAAATCAAGGCCCAAGGAAAGCCAGAAAGAGGGTGGTAGGAGGTCAAAGAGCAAAGTCTGGGTTGGAGCTCAGCACGACTCCTGGCTCTGCAGTCCCTGCCTCTGAGGCCAGGACTGGGCAAGTGAGTCAGCTGCTGTGGGCTCGGCTGGAGGCTGTAAAACACGCCTTCCAGAATGCCTGACGTGCAAAGGGCTTCTGGACTCCCTGGCACGCCCTCAGCTCCTGACTTGATGGTCATTTGAGCCAGATCATCAGCCTCTGCCCAACTCTAGGTGTGTGTACCATACTTGCCTTTGCCCACCCCTGCCTCCACCTAAACTTTGTCACCCACCCAGCCCGTCCTTGACCCTGCACTTTCCCTTTTACTCCCCTCCCCATCTGCCCTGGCCAACCTGGGTATTGGTGCAGATTTAGCGGTGGAAGGGGACGCAGCATGGAGTGCAAGGGTTCTGATACAAACGTATAAAGAAACTGCCTTCACTTCTGCCCGCTCCCCAGGAACGGTGCCCACAGGGACATCCACCCCCCCCCCCCCCGCTCCAATCTGGTTTTCTAGAAAGCCTTTTTACTGGTATAACACAGTACAGGAAAGGGCACAGATCCTAATCGTTCACCTCCATGAATGTTCACACAGTGAATGCACGGTGAACGCAGCCCCCAATGGAGAACTCCCCCCTGTCTTTAGGGCTGCTTCTTGGAAGGAAGGGCTGTAATTGAGGTAACCTGCCATTTCTTTTTTTTTTTAAAAGATTTTATTTTTTTCCTTTTCCTCCCCAAAGCCCCCCAGTACATAGTTGTATATTCTTAGTTGTAGGTCCTTCTAGTTGTGGCATGTGGGACGCTGCCTCAGCATGGCTTGATGAGCCGTGCCACGTCCACGCCCAGGATTTGAACCAGCGAAACCCTGGGCCACTGCAGCGGAGCGCACGAACTTAACCACTTGGCCACAGGGCCGGCCCCTAACCTGCCATTTCCCAACCAAAAACACACTCCTGGAACATCTGCCCTGTGCTCAGCACTATTAGCTGCTATGGAGAAATAGGATAAAATACAGCCCAGGCCTGGGGTCCACTAGCCTTGAGTTGGAGGGACAAAAGTTAGCACACAGGACAGTTAGAGAACAACTAAGCACCAGCTCACACAGTGTCAAGCGCCTGAGCCTAGAGGAGGATGAGTGTGAGCGGGAGTGGCCCCGGAGAATGTCCCACAAGTGGACTCCAGCTGGGAAGGTTTTAGATATGCTCCCTCGGAGGGAGACTCCCACCCCCTCTCCTGATAGGGTCTGTGATCTGATTCGTCCCCAGGCGCTCCTGGCTCTGTTGGTGGAAATATACCCCTCAGGGGTTACTGGCCTGGTCCCTCCCCTCAGGGACCGGGAGAAAAGAGACAGTCTGTGTCCCCAGGGAAAATACAGCCACCCTCAAAATAATTCCATTTGCTGTACCAAGTGCCACAAAGGTAGGAGAAAGTGGTAACGGTGAGTCTGCTCAGTTATGGGGCCCTGCATCTTCCTTTGCTTTTTCCAGACCTCCTAGAACCTGGGGTCCCCGGCCCCAAGTCTCCTGACCTTGTTGCCTCTCTTGGGCTGGGGTTTTCTCCCTCCTTTCCTCTCCTGGAGACTGGAGGGAGGTGGTCATGGCTGTTCTCCCAGCACGGGGCTCCTTCCTGGAGCTCTCGGCTGCACCTAACCCTGACACCCCCATCACAGGGACCTACCTGCACAATGACTGTCTCGGCCCAGGGCTGGACACAGACTGCAGGGAGTGCGAAAATGGTACCTTCACTGCTTCAGAGAACCACCTCAGACAGTGCCTCAGCTGCTCCAAATGCCGGAAGGGTGAGTCTCGGGAGAGGGCGCTCAAGGGACCGTGTGTCAGGCAGGTGCGATGAGAGGTGCGCGCCTGTCTGCACAGGAGGGTGTGCAGATCTGTGCTGGTGGGGTTGGAGGAACGCATGTGCATATGTGAGCGAGCGCATGTTACAGAGAGCGGGACACACACTGTGGTGACGGCGGGGCTTGTACCCCATCTCCTCTCTCCACCAGAAATGAACCAGGTGGAGATCTCCTCTTGCACAGTGGACCGGGACACTGTATGTGGCTGCAGGAAGAACCAGTATCGGAAATACTGGAGTGAGACGAGTGAGACTCGTTTCCAGTGCTTGGACTGCAGCCTCTGCATCAACGGCACAGTGCATCTCCCCTGTGAGCACGGCTCTCCCCACCCCAGCCCTGCCCAGCCCAGGGACAGGCCCTGGCCCGGGAGGAAGCTCACTACCTTTCTGCACCCCTGCCCCATGAGGCTGCTCCTCCTTTCCTTCCCTCCACGCAGTCTGTGGACCGCCTCCACTCTGGCCCCCCCGCCCCTCCTCGCTCTCCCTCTGGTCCTCAGGGGGCAGGGTGGTCCTCCTTTAGCTTTGCTGCACCTCTCCCCACAGGCCAGGAGAGACAGAACACCGTGTGTACCTGCCACACGGGCTTCTTTCTGAAAGAGAACGAGTGCATGTCCTGTGTGAAGTGAGTACCTCTGCCAGCTGCTGGTCACCGGATTGGGGATGTGGGGTGGGATGCAGTGGCTGTGGATGAGAGCCACTAGCAGGGCAAGGCGGACACCCCAGGGTGCTCTGGCTCCTACTGGCCCAGACAGTCCTTCTCCCTCCCCCAACCTTGTTTGACAAATCTTAAGAAGTCTTTGAGGACAGAAGCTCAGTCCCCAAGGATGTGCAGTTCTAACTTAGACATTCAGCTTCTTGGGGACAGGGTCTGCTGTTGATTCTAGGACACACACTTTCACATCTCTGCAATCAGACTGCATCTTACAATAACCGGTGATGTCTTGTGGTTTAAACAGCAGCCTTGTGTGTATAGCATGTATAATGGTGCCTCTTATTGTTGATGGCATCTTAGGGTTGATGCACTGTGGTTTTCCCTCCTGAGTCCCTTTGACCAGGCCTCGTCACTCCTTCTCACCCCACAGAGGGTATACTTGCACACTCACTTGCAAAGAAGCAGCTCTGAGGGATCTAAAGTCGAACTGACCTGGGTTTAAATCTCAGCCTAGCCACGTACTGGCTTTGTGACCTTGGGCAAGTTACTTCACATCTCTGAACCTTAGTTTTCTTACCTTAAAGTACGGATAATGACATCCACTTGGTGAAGCTGTAAGAACCACAAAATAGTGACGAAGTGTCTGATAGGAAACTATTTTCTTTTTTCCACTCAGTTTCTCCTCTTCTCCTTGAAAGAGCTTTTACCCCCATTCCATGTGTTTGTCACCATGAGCTGGTGAGGTGGGCAAAAGAGCTTCCTGCTGCTTTCAGCTTCCTGCTGAGAACGCACCTTCTCAAGCTCCTTCTAGGCCCCGATATCGATGTCATTCTCTTCACTCCGGGCTGCCCATCGATGGCTCCCAGCAGAGGCGGGCAGGCTTGGTTGAGAGTGCGCTCCGGCTGCCCCCAGCATATGTATTCTCAAATTTTCACACACGTTTGATCCCTCTCTCAAAGTCAGGGATTGTCACTAGCAGTGTCATGTCAAGAAGGAGCTCCCTAACTAACCTCTCTTTGCCACAGGATTCTCTTCAGTAAAACAACGATAAAATGCCAATTCAACGACAGCGACCGTTCCCGAGCTCTTACTGTAGGCCAGGGCGACTATCTCACTTACTCCTCCATCCTGACAGCTGGGGGGGGGGGGGGGGGGGAATCCCTGCTTTCCTGATGGGGAAACTGAGGTGTACAGGTCAAATGACCTGTGTGAGCCACACTGTGCCTGGCGAGTGGGCTGGAATTTATACGCTGACTGCCGGGACTCCTTTTCTATACAGTTCTAAAATTAAATCAGATCACTTCTAAAAGTGATCTGATTCCAGTTCTAAAATTAAATGATTCTGTGATTAACATGTTTCATTCCTCTGCATTAATTCCCAAGATAGGTGTAATTTCCATTATATCAAGAGATAGCGAAAATAGCAGTAAAGCAAAGAATTTCCAACAATATGTTTTTTTTTTCTTTCTTTCCCTGCTGTTCTTCCCAAGGTAGGGCCCCTACTCACCTGTGCTCTCTCTTCTCTTAGGTGTAAGAAAGACGCAGAGTGCACGAAGTTGTGCCCATCCCCAACCCAAAGCGTGACGGGCCGACAGGACCCAGGTGAGAAGAAATAACCGGTGCCTGCTCACCTGCCCTCTCCAGGCCGGGCCCCTCCCCCCGGCCATCGGCTTCCACCTCCCGATGCCCCCTCCTCTCACCGCCGTCTGCTTTGCCGACAGGGGCCACAGTGCTGCTGCCCCTGGTGATCTTCCTCGGTCTTTGCCTTTTATCCCTCCTATCCATCGGTTTCCTGTGCCGCTACCGACGGTGGAAGCCCAAGCTCCGCTCCATTGGTGAGTCGAAAGGGTGCTGGTGGGGATGTGGGAGGAGGTTGGGCAGGAAAGATGGACAAGCAAGGAGGGAAATGAGGAGCGTCCCCTTCGTTCACTGCCCGGGACTCCGTTGGCAGGCGGTGGCCCTAATGGCTTCTGAGAGGTCATACTGCATCAGTAGTTCTCTCGTCCCTGGGGCCATTTAGGCCCTGAAGCATGTCACCACAAGTCCCCATGGCCAGCCCCACTAAGGGCACCAGGGCTGAGAGAGGAAGTGAAATTTGTGACGCTTTGTTCCTTTTTTCTCAGTTTGTGGGAAATCGACACCTGTAAAAGAGGTAAGATGAAACCAGGGACCTACCCCGATCTTCCCTGACTGTCCATTATAATCTTGTAATACCCAAGTCATCTGGAATCCCCCTTCTCCCTCGGGCTCCCCTCACTCCCTCCAGCCCCAAGCCCCATCCAGAATACAGAGGCCCAGGCTGTTTTTCCTCTCCCATACTAATGCTGTGCCTTCTCTCTTTCAGGGGGAGCCTGAGCCCCTGGCCCCAACCCCAAGCTTCAGTCCCACCGCGGCCTTAAGTGTCATCCCGGGCTACAGTCCCGTCTCCAGCTCCACCTTCACCCCCATTCCCAATTTCACGCCTAGTGACTGGCGCAATTTCAGTGCTGCATCGCCCCCCAGAGAGATGGCTCCACCCTACCAAGAGGCGGGCCCCATCCTCACCGCAGTTCCACCCTCCAGCCCCCTCTCCACCCCTGTTCAGAAGTGGGAGGACAGCGCCCACACGCAGCGCCCAGATAGTGAGTTCCTCGCCGCCGGGAATCCGGGCTGGGGCACAGGGGGCCGGGCGGGCCGCGGGGAGAGGGTGGCCGGGGCGGGAATCCGGGCGCGGCGGGAGCGCTCGCTCGAGGCTCAGTGGCCCGCTTGCCCGCAGCCGACCCGGCCACGCTGTACGCCGTGGTGGACGGCGTGCCCCCGTCGCGCTGGAAGGAGTTCATGCGGCGGCTGGGGCTGAGCGAGCACGAGATCGAGCGGCTGGAGCTGCAGAACGGGCGCTGCCTGCGCGAGGCGCACTACAGTATGCTGGCGGCCTGGCGACGGCGCACGCCGCGGCGCGAAGCCACGCTGGAGCTGCTGGGCAGCGTGCTCCGCGACATGGACCTGCTCGGTTGCCTGGAGGACATCCAGGAGAAGCTGTGTGCCCCCGCCTCCCACTCGCCCGCGCCCCGCCTTCCCCGATGAGGCCCAGCCCCCGCCCCCTGAGAGGGGGCTGCCTTGAGGACAGCTGCTTTCTGCCCCCTGGACAGTCCGGAGGGACGGTGCAGGATGCCCCCTGGACTTCCTTGTTTCTGGAGAAGAAGGGTCTTGGAGGGGCAGGCATGATCTAGCAGCCACCTCCTTGGTGCTACTCCCTCGGTGTACATAGCTTTTTCTCAGCCGCCTGAGGGTCAGCCGTGTGTGTGTGTGTGTGTGTGTGTGTGTGTGTGTGTGTGTGTGGTGGTGAGAAAGGCTTGGGGTGTGTGTTCTTGTGAGAGAGGCTGAGTGTGCCAGGAGCCCAAGCCGGTGACTGTGGGGATAAAAGGTGCCATCCGTCGCTGCCTGTTTTGGGTTTGGAAAACCTAGCAAGGATGCTTAGGGGCCTGTGGTTGGTCCCTGAGCATTTTTCACAGTAGATAAGCAATCTTTGTACCAATTATGTTACACTATAGAAACTTGGCACGCCTTTGCCCCCTGCCTGGACAAGCACAGAGTAAGAGAACTGTCACAAGGCGGGGGCAAGCACAGAACAATGGGGCCTCAGGCTGGAGCTGTGGACTTTTGTAAATACACTAAAACTCTGGAATTAAAGCTGTGCTGCCGAGGGAGTGGCCTTCCTGAGTGGTGGGAGTGGGAGGCTGGGGCAGAAACCCCGGTCCTGATGGGTGGGATGGGAAAAGCCCGGAGCTTGGGCGAGGTACCCCACCGCCAGGATGCCAGTGGACAGAGGAGTAGCCTGTGCTCACTCTGTGACCCCCCACCCCCATTCTCTTTCTTCCCACTCTCATGTAGTGATGACTGGGCAGTCGTTTTTATGTACAACTTTATGTGGGGCTCCCGTGTGTTTATGGTACATAAATGTACTGCTCCTGATCCCCAAGTCCTCTGAGCAGGAAGGGCAGGGTGCCTGGGCCAGGCTTCTCCGTGGGAAGTGTGGTCCTTGAGGTAGAGTCCAGGGGTGGGGTGGTGACCAGCACTCTTGGGGAGAGATTTCCTCCAGGAGAAATGCCAAAGGTCCTGAGTGGTCCTCACACTTCTCTGAGAAGAAAGGAGGTGGGTGTTAGATAAAGTCAGAAGTGGGGTGCAGGTGAGGCTCAGGGCCCTTCCCTGCCAAGGCCCTGCTCCGGTACCACCCTCCTTCTCTATGAGCTCCTCCCCACTGACCTCCTACTCTAGGACCCCTCCCCTCCATGCTAGCCTTCCCCTCGGCTCCCTCCCATGCCACCTCCCCTTCACACTTACGATGTGGACAGCGGGGTGTCCAGCTGTATGATGTGGGAGCCACGCATCCTCTGCAGTTGGATCCGCGTCAGCTTCCGAGGCCTGCTGTCCCCAGGCTCAGGGACGCCCTCAATCCTTTGGCTGGCCAGTTCCTCCCGAATCTCTCTGAGCATGTCTTCAGCCCGGAGAGGGCGGTGGGAGGGGGTGCGGCCAGGTCCTAGGAAGAGGGACCCCTCTTCTTCCTCATCTCCTGAGGACTCCCAGGGGCTTTCCCCAGCAGAGTCAGCGTGGGTCGGGGAGGTGGGGAGCTGCCCCCGAAGTCGGGCCCTATGCAAGGTTTCCACTACCACGTTCCCTCCCACTGAGGTCCCATCTTCTTCCTCAGACCAGGTCGGTGGGTCTCCCCTGGGAAGACTGCCTCTTCTTTGGATACCTTCCTCCGGCAGTTCAGGGGCACTTCGGCGTTGAGGAGCTTGGGGGTTAGAAGGCCGGGGGCGCAGAGGAACATCTCGGAGGTCCATGGTGGAGAAAGTGAGGCGAGGGTCCCGCCGGAAGGCCCGCGAGCGTAGTCGGCTCAGTGGGGAGCGGGACCCCTCGGGGGAGCCTGGGATCAGAGTGCCATAGCCAGAGTCTGAGGTATCATCTGGTCCCGAGGGAGTGTCTTCATCCGTGTCTTCTGTCACCACCAGGTGGGGGATGATGGTCGAGATCCCAGGAGTCCTACAATCAATAGTGAATGGTAGGAGTCAGATTCTGAGGGGTCAAGTTCAAGTCCAGGAAGTCTCCCTTGATCGCTCCATCCAGAAATGGCCCCTCCTCCAAATTTATTTTGGTCTCACCTTTCTCTTGCCCTGAGGTGGTTTTTCTCATCTCGCTGGCTAGACTGGAAGCTCCGCTAAGGCATTTAAGCCATAGCCCCTGGTCCAGGACCTTGTATCAAGGAGGCGCTCAGGTGTTTCCTGAGGGGCTCCTGAGCTCCCCTGAGGTTACCTTCAGTGGATCTGTCGTCTCCTTCACCATGCTGCCAAACAGCTGAGTTATTCTGGGTGACCCCCTCACGCTCTCTGCAGATTTGGACTAGCTGAACCCTGCAGCTGCGACGTTGTGCAAATCCATACTGGCCTTCACTCTCCATCCCTGGCCTGGGAAGCCTGCTCCTCTCAGGGAGTTCATGCCACTTGTGCCTGTTTGCCTCGCCCTGTGCCATCCCTAGGCTGGCTGACCCCCTAGGCTGTCCCATGCGGCCCTTCGCACGGCTGGTGCCAACCTGTTCTACTCCGAGCTGTAGCCGGGTCCCTCACTCTATTCCCAATCCCCTTACAAGGTGGACTGCCATTTCTCAGCCTTGTGGGTTCCACTTCTTTCCCTCCCTGACTGCACCCCCCACCTTGGGAGCCCTGTAGTCGCTGTGGGTCTTACCTCCCCTCTGCGCTGCTCTGAGAGCCCTCCAGCGAGGGTGTGGAGGGCCTGGTGCCCAGGGACTCCCGGTCCTGGTCCCGATAGAGGGCCAGGAGCTCCCTCTTCTGTTGGACGTACTCCTCTGCCTTCAGCTTTTGCAGGGTGACCTGGGGTGGCGATACGTTTCATTAAGAGCTCTCATTTATTGAGCACTTGCTGTATGCCAGGCACCACGCTAGGTGCTTTACATACATTATCTTGTTTAATCTTCACAACCACCCTGTGAGGCAGATATTATTTTTCACTCCTTTACTACTGAGAAATGGAGGCTGAGGTTAGGTAACTGCTGAGGTCATGCAGTAAGAAAGTGGGGTGAGGCAGGATTTGCACTCTGAGCCGGTCCTGGGGGTGGGTGGGTGAATAGAGGGCCCCTTTTCCTACCCGTACAGTTCTTCCTGCTTCTTATGCCCCTTTGGTAAGCTCTCTATCCTGTCTGTCTCCTCTTTCAGGAAGCCCTCCCTGATTGGTGGTGATGGTGGTATAAGTGCCGGGCCCTCAGGTTACTCTTTTTCCTACCACCAGGGTGGGCAGAGGCAGGCCCTGTTCTGGGCTGAGGACTCTGCTGTCCTTCAGAGATGAAAGCAGGATCATCTCAAGAATGAAGAGGATACATTATACAGTCATGTGTCGCTTAACAACAGGGGCACGTTCTGAGAAACGTGTCGTTAGGTGATTTCGTAGTTGTGCGAACATAATAGAGTGTGCTTCCACAAACCTAGATGGTATCGCCTACTATACACCTGGGCTATATGGTACTAATCTTACGGGACTGCAGTCATATGTGCGGCCCATCGTTGACTGAAACATCGTTATGCGGCACATGACTATTTTCTATCTTTCTCCCTCAACATTTTCATATTAGCGCCATCAGAATAAAATGGTGACATCTGAGAAGTGGTTTACAAAGCACCCCCACACGCACAGGGTCATTTGATACACACCGTGGGAAGCATGGCTGTTAGCCCATTTTACAGATGGAAAACAAGAGATGAAGGGACTTGCTCAAGGTGGCACAGGGTGAGAGAAGCACACCTGGGACTGGGCTTTTTGCTGTGAGTCCTAGTTCAGCACTATTTTTCAAGGGCAGCTTCAAAGGGCAAAGTGTTACTAAAGGACAGCGTTCGCGGGGGTGGGGAAGGCAGCAGAACCTGAGAAGACTCAGGTCCAAGGTGGGGCTCGGCAAAAGGGAGGTGGCGGCTGCTGTGGGCAGGCTGATAACAGAACGCACTGGAGTGGCCGTATCATTGTTAAAATATTGAAGTCCTTCCGTGCTGGTAAGCAGAGGGCTGCTGTGGGAGCCTCCGCCTCCCTTTGCCCCGGACGACCCCGCCCCCAAGATCCAGCAGCTAGAGGGAGAGCAGCTGGCTCAGCAGGGGACCTAGGACCCTCCCCCCAGCTCCCCGCAAAGCTCCGCTCGGATTGATTTGATGTCCATGTCATACTGGTTATTAAATATTTTGAATATCTCCCCAGCTTGAGGTCTAATGAACCAGCAACTCTTGGGCACCTGGACCTTCCCAAAGCCTGTCCAGAAATACAGGAGGGTAGCTGGGTCAGGACAAGAGACGTGGAGAAATGGATGAACAGGGATAGGAAAGTGACATCAAGCTTGTATTTCCCATTCTCCTTCCCCTGGCTCTGCAGTCAGCCTGGTGAGTGACAAAGCAGTGCAAAGATGCTTAGCAGTCTCATCAGACTGGGTTCCCTGGGCCAGAGCAAGGGGCGATGGGGCCTAGGGGCAGGAAACCAGCATGGGCCAGGTCCTGTGATCTGCCCCCTCGTCCTGTCCCCAGGCCTCATCTACCAGCTGCGCAGGAGGAGTGTGGGGGAGGAAGAGGAGACAGGAGGGCGGGAGAGGCCAGGGCGGGACTGGGGCAGCCTGCCTGTCCTGCTGAGATGTAGTGCCCTTTTCCCCACATGACCCAAGTTCAAGTTTGTGTTTGGGATATCCAGGATACAGACGGTGTGTGGAAGAAAAGAACTGGAAGGAAGTGGGGGTTGTCTGTAAAGAATATCCAATACCAGCATCTCTGCTAAACTTGCCTCTGGCCCCACCCAGGGAAGCAGCAGAGAGGTGGGAGACCTCAGGTACCAGGGGCCGGGGCTGTCTGAAGTGCCCCCAGCCACCCCAAAGCCTCCCCAACAACCCTGGGAGGGTTTTCTCAGCTTGGGTAAGAGGAGAGACGTGTTGGGGGCAGGGTGGGAAAGGAAGAGGAAATTGGTGCCTGAGCCAGAATGTGACACCCCCACAAAGCCGGGAAAAGGAAGGGAGGGCTCCCCTACACGATTCTTCTTCCTCTGCCCTGGTGGAGAACTGAAGCCTTGGGAGGAAATGCCTCCCCTCCCGCTGCCTCTGGAGTGGCTCCCAGATTTACCCACTTTCCTCCCGACGTCCCCACTATGGACGAAAGCCCATCTCTGGAAGGTGCCCACAGACTCTAAGCAGCAGATGTGCAGGCATTCCCCCAGCCAGCATGGGCCACCAGGCCCCACCCTCCAGCCTTTCTGCTAATGAGGACAATAACAAACATTTATGGAGCGCCCATTAAGTGCTGGGCCTGGTGCCAAGCAGCTGACAAATATAATTCTCCCGTCTGTCCTGCATGGTAGTTCCCATCATCGCTGCAATTCCCCAGATGGGGACGGGCTTGGAGAAGTGCAGGAACTCCGCAAGAACACAGATAGCAACTGAGAGATGGGCTGGGGCGCCCTGGGAGCCTGGCTCTTTCCCTCCTTTCGTTTCTTGGCCTCTGTCTCTGACAGCTTTCTGTTCCCGTCACTGGTTCCTTTTCCTCTAGCCGCCCCTAAATATGGGCATTTCCCAAGATTCAGTCTCTCACCCCTTGAGAAGCTCAAGCCCTCGTGGTCAGACCCACGAGGAATAAATCTACATCTACGCTTCTGTAAGGGGGAGAAAAACAGTGTGACC